GAAAAAGTTGGAGTAGCTCCAATGGCAGATAAGATTAGACAGAGTCGTCTTAGATGGTTTGGTCACATAAAATGTTAGCCTTCCAATGACCTGGTTAGGAGATTAGATGCATTATATTTGACTTATATTAAGATATACCTAAAGGACTTGGTTAGAAAATATTAGAAATAACCTTTCTTTATTAGATCTAAATGAGAATTTAACTCTTAACAGAACATAATGGAGAAAAATAATTAATGTAGCTGACTCCACATAGTGGGATAAAGGCTTAATGTTGTTATTGTTGATTGTTATGGTTTGATTACACATGAATGTAAGGGTTAGAAATATTGATTCATAATATTATTTCAACTTTAAATGACACCTAAGCATAACAATTAAGGTATACGTAGAATGTTGGCCATTAAAAGATAAGCATAATAATAAATTAAGTGTTGAATAGATGAGGATGCTTAGATGGATGAGTGGCTTTACTCTTTAAGTTAAGAAAGGTAGAGGTATAAACCTAAAACAATCATAATATTAAGTGGATTGTTGCAGAGATGAGGATGGGAAAGTAGATGCATGAATGAGCAGCACAACTATTTTATTGTATATGGTTATTTGTTCTTTAATTTGCGCAATTTGCATAGTTCTCTTTGATTTATTTGCTTTGCATATTTTTTTTATACTTTCTTGGATTGTGAATGTTGAAAAGCCCAAATAATTAATAATTGTAGGAGAAACTTTTTTTTATTATGCTACATGTTTGCGGTAAAAAATTCGCCACAAATGTTGATCCAATATTATAGCATCCACGCTTGTGATGGACCTATCCGTCACAAATTGCGTCGGATTATCTGCCGTAATTTGTGACGGAATCTACGATGGACCAAAGAAATGAAGTTGTTGTTTTATCGTAACTATACTTAAGACGCTCATTTTAGCATCGAAATCGTATCCGCTGCAAAATAAGATTTGAGACTAAATCGTATCCGTTGAATTTTACTGATCATGCAAACATAAAAAAACTTCTCACATTTCTGAATTATCGGACTCTCTTTTAATGCGCTTAGAGCTACTTGAAATGATAAAATTATATACAAAAAACTAAGAACCTATATTAAAAATTACAAAGCTGATGGATCCAATTGAGTTGGCTGACTTAATAAATAAAAATAATAAGATTAGACATACGCTTTGCTAAATAAAAAAAAAAAGAGGGGAGATTGATTCAAATTACTGAAAATAAATAAATAATAATAATAAAAAGAAAGAAAATGTCCTAATAATCCCATTCCCCACAGCATCCCTATCATAATGGTCGATTAGTTATTAAGTTTTTATAACTCATGATGGAGAGCTGATCATGCAATGATATATGTCCTACATTTATGTCTTATATTATAGTGCAAGTCTTATTGCAATATAGTTCTTATTATGGTGATCATTGCTCCAACACAAATGTTACTATAACTAAATTTTTGCTACAATTCATGTCTTATTGTGATGTTCATTTTACTACATTGTAGGTAAACAAAATTGTGTTATAGTCGCTAAGAGGTCTTGATTCGATTTTTAAATATGTGTTGTATGGGTGAATTTATTTTAATTTATCTAAATATCTATCTAAAAAAAAAAAACCAAATAACGTGATCAGCTTACTGAACTTTCATAATATTGTTATAAAAGAATACTCAGTAAGTAATTGTTGTCTAATAAAGAAACATTTTCAGTATTTTAATTTCTAATTCAATAATTTATATTCTTACTAATAGATGATAATTAGTGGCTAATTAATCAGAAGTCAATTAAGATTCCATCTCGTTGATCATGGGGGTCCACATACCCTGTCACCGACCGGCGACAAGCTCGCGAGGTGCGTCCCCTCTACGTCCCATGTAGTACACGACGTCGTCCGCGCTCCAACCGCTGCGAAGCGAAGAGAGCGCCTGAAGCCGCACGTGGCACATCAGGTCCAATCTATCCATCACCACCGTCCGTCTACCCCTCATCCCAGCCTTAACGCCGTCCGATCCACCCATCATTAGCATCTCCCTCACTTCCTTCTCCCCCAACCACCCTCCCACAGTCTCCACCCTAACGCTTTCATCAATCGCTCCAACCCATGGGTTCCGTCGCCAGTGATGAAACCTCCAGATGCCAAATCAGTCCACACCTCCACCCTCCTCGCCTCCGTCGCAGTCCACGATGGCGCCGCCGCCGGTAGAAAGCATAGCTCCTTGAAGCAGAAGAAATCAGATAGATCAAATCCGCAGCAGCGCACGTCGCCGCCGATAATGTAGAAAACAGGGTTTCCGGCGATATTTGGAGTTGCGACGATGTAGAAGTGGCGGTAGACGGGAATAAGCTTTAGGGCACCGGCGAGGAGGGATTGGGCCCGTGCGATGGACTCAGCATGGGAATATGGATGGGGACCCCAAACCAGCGGCCAAACTAGGGAATGGGAGATCTCGTAGAGGAAGTCGGATGCCGGGAGGGAGACGAGGACTTGGAGCTGCTGCAGTGATGCGAAGCGCCAATTTGGGAATCCAGCACCGACGAGGAGGCCTTCGCGGAGGATGGAATAAAGGTCCGGTGTTAGGATTTAAAGGGGACGAAAATAATAATTCGATATTCTCCGAAAGACATGCTAAATCATCGAGAAGAATTTTCGGAAGCGTATCTGAATCCATTGAAATATAAAATTGAGGTTTTCGGTATTCCACGTTTAGAGCGGCGTTCTCCAAGAGAGCGAGAGACCCTTTCTTTTCACTCAAGATGGGAAATGAGGGAAATGAGAACTTCACCGCTTAAACTGAGGACCACGACCCTTTTATACTTTAAGTGTATTTATTTTATTTCATCCCATTATTAAAATAAAATAAATACCCGGCCTCTACACAAATTAATTCCATACAAAATTTAATTGAGATGCCACATAAGCCAAATAATATTTTAATACTTAAATAGACCACTAATTTAATTGACTTAAATTTGGATAGATTCTTTATTTATATGTAAAATTAAATTCGCCCACAAATGGAAATTTCCCAACATCCGGTGGGAATTGGAATACGAGGAAGGATTCGATGGCGGCGAATTCGTCGTCAGAGACCGGCTGCGATGTGTACGCCGGAGGATTTTAGGTGGTCGAGCACCGTTTTCGAGTACGCGGCGAAGGAGAAGCAGATCCGATGAGGGAGGCGATTCTCGTTGCTGTCATCAGCGCTGGCGGCGCCGGCGATCCATTCCGTTGTGGTCATTGGCTCATGTTGGGTGATGATGAGCGAGACGAGGCCGAGGAGCGTGGCTGGTTGTCTTATAGAGAGAGAAAGACACGTGACGGCCCGGGAAAGGGGAATGGAATTTGCTTTTCTTTCTTTCTTTTTTTTTTCTGAAAAAATAGGGAATTGAAGTTGGGCTTTGGAGGTTTTTTTTTCTTGTTGTCTTTAGCAGCGCATAGGCATGCGAAGAACTTTTCTAGTCAAATAAAAAATGAATTGAAATTTTAGTAGTTATTTTTATCAAGTATATCACAACATTTTGTTTATTTAGTGAGAAATTTACATAAGATTGAACACAAAATTACTCATTTATATTTCTAACACTTATATTATTCTTCACTCACATAGCACTTAATTTTTTAAAAGTATATCAAAAACATATATTACTTTATTATCCATTAACTTTAATTACTCATGAATGTTACTCTTATACGACTTTTGCAAGTTATGTCATTGACAAGAGTTTTAGATTAACGTGTCATTGAACTCATCAATGTCCTCCTAGTGAGATATTGTTGCATTTAATCTCTCGTTGTGACTTCATCTTATCATGTATAATAGACAATGTTAAAGGAGCATTATAACATATAAATAGTAAAGTTTATGTGTGATATATATGAACATGAAAATTTTAAGTGTTTTTTATGACTTGCTAAGTATTTGCGATGTGAGAGAGAGGGAGAGGTTATTAGATCATGTTATCCTTTAAATGCTAAAATATCCTTCATCTTAACTCCTATGAGCTATAGAAGCGAATATTTGATTAATTCAAAGCCTATAAAGCCAATTACATTCATGACGTAGGAAGTAAAGATGAACGGTTGATCTCTTACTCGGCAGTCACAAAAGCAGGATGACCAATGAAATGTTCTTCTAATACTATTATTGAGACAATTGGTGATTTTAGGAGTAGTAAAATTAAGGGACTTATTTTACTTTAGATAAATTAATAAGAAGCTGCTGAATTCCACCAGCTGTTGAGTGTTATAAGAGGTGATTGTAAATGATAAAAATTGTTTGCCACCAATTTGAGGATTACTAAAAGTCTATTCGAGATAGTTTTTCTTTTTGTTTTATTTTCTATCACCAACTATAATTTCATTTAGTTACTATTTTCACATTTTTTTTAATTTTTATTTATTTATAGAAAGTTGCTTTCTACAATCAGAAAAGTCAAATTGATTTTTCCACAACAACTTCAAAATTAACATCATAAAAAATTGCAATCGTCCCAAACAAATCATAATAGTTTAAAATAATAAATAAAATCGAATAAAATAGTGGTTTGACATTTTTTTTAAACAATGAATAATAACTCATAATATGTGTTATTTGAATTCATAAGCTCTTTCACTTAGACCGAGTACTTTGTTCGCTCAATTGAAAATTATCAAATTTCATATGATAATTAAATTGCGCTATTGTTAGTTAATTAAAAAAAATCATATTAAATCGTCCATTTGAATAGATGCGGCATAATGCCATTTGTTATTAAACCAATATTTCAAAAGCTATCTTAGAGGATAGGATGTTGGAGCAAGCTCCAAGCTCAGAGGAAGGAATATGGCTAATAAGTATGAGCTTTTCATTTGTTATAAAAAGTTCAATTTGAAATACATATAATTATGCTTATTGTATACATTTTATGCAGATGAACATGGAGACCCTATACGTCGTAGGAGGAGGATCACATGCCCTGACATACCAAATATGCCCCCGGGAACACATATTCATATTGAGGCAACGAGAATAATATCTCATGCAACATACTAGAGTTCAACTTCCTAGGATCATATTTGGGTATTATTGATAGAGATCCAGTGCTGGCACCAATTGCATTTTTAGATTGGAAGAATAAGGATATGGAGCGAAACAAGAAAAGAATGTTGGTTGAAGTTGAGGCAAGTTTAAAATCCTTAATAATCCCAAACCCTATTCTTAATATTGATATTAATATTGTACTTCATATTGCAGTCCAAAATTAAGTTCCCTACACATATACATCACTTGATTACTCAATCCATTTGTGTAAAGTGGCGTAACCACAAGACATCTTTGAAGGTATAGAATTGGGATAGTGGTTCCCTTGATAAGATTTTGGAAACTGACCCTACTAGTATAGATGAACTACAATGGTGTCAACCTGTCATGCAATGGTCAAAACTAGAAGACCAGGTTAGTGCTACCACCAAGTTTTGCTTTTGATATTTTCATCATAAGCATATTTGAGTTAACTTCAACAATTGTCATAGGAGAGGGCAGCGAAAAATGCTGCTAATGTAAAGAAACAAATATGTCCTCACACAATGGGACGTATAAGCTCAGTTCGTAGGCAGAAAGAGACGGCATGAACTTAATATCTTATTGTATTTTTATGTTTACTTTACAACTAATTATAGTATAATGAAATTTACTATTATAGGCTATAAAAGATAGATTATAACTATAGAAAATAAACATAATGCATAATTATGGTATCTAGTCATCTGAAGATGCTAATTAGAGATAGTTAATTTAAGTTTTATGCTTTGTAATATTTATATTCAAAGCTCATTGATTTGTCCCTACGCTTGACTAAATTTACTCAAATATAGGTACATGTTTGCGACTTTCTTGCTGAGGAAGGTCTTACACTTGAGGATGGCAATATGGAGTCAAATGAAAGGGGTTTTAGTAAGATTATGAGATCTGAACACCCTAGAAAAGTTCAAATGCAAGGTTTTGGTGTCATTCCAACCCGATACTTTCCTAATAGCAGCAGTGAACTGGCAGTGATAGCGGAAGCAATTTTAGTCAGATAGCAAGTCTCAAATAGGAGGTCAACTCATTATGTTATAAGATGAGACAATTTACACAATAATACCAGCTACACAACCGACCGATAGAAAGCTCACAAATTATATGTTAAAAATGTGTTGAAAAAATTAAAAATATTTGATAATTAACTTCTCACAACTATCATATTATTTGCAGGTAGGGAATGATAATTCATCTGATGCCCGGAGTTCTTGGGAGAAGAGGTGTTTATTGCATTGCTTTTGGGTTTTTGGAGTAAAGTTAAACCTTATGCTATCTCTTTTTGTATGACTATATGTTTATGCCAGTTATGGGACACTATTATCTTTATGCTTATGATGAACTTCTTCTCTGGAGATGTATAACTCATTTTGGAGTTTTTATGATGACAAGCTTCTTTTGCATACAATGTAATATTTATATTTATGATTTACTTCTTTTGCATATTTAGGTTTTGTTTGGGACTGTTTTCTTTCTGCTTCTTAAAGCGGATTTCGAATACAAAAATTTAAAATTTTTAACTAAAAAATCGTTTTAATAAGCACTAAGAAAGCCGCCCCAAAGGAAGCCTTAGACTACCACCAAGTTTGTAAAAATATAAAAGAATTTTATGCCGCGGCTTACTGGAGGTGAAGTTTAAGCCAAAAAGTGCAGGAAGGCGCACCAGAAACAGAGAGCAATCCAAGTCGTTGGATCTCAGTCTCTTATCCGTCTAAGAGGATTCGAGCGCAAACAGAGGTGCAGATCGAAGAGCTACGGACTCCTTATCGCCACCGAGGAAATGGCGTCATTGATATCTACAGCTTCGGTTGGGATTCCTCCGGCATCATTCAGAGAAGGCAAGCAGCATCCGACGACTTGGCGCCGGGGAAGCGGAGTTGGAGGAGGCCCGATGATGGTGGAGTGTTCTTCTAGGCCGAAGAAAAAGGGAACGGCTCACCACATGAAGACAAGGCCCAAGAAGACGCAGCCGTGGGATGTTAAGCGTAAGGGTCCCACCCTCTACCCATCTCTCCCTCCCCTCCCTCCCGACTGGAAGTTCGCCATCTCCGACGGCGGCAGCGAAGACAGTGCAACTGCTGCCGAGCAACCGGAGCCGGTATCTCTGTCGGCTCCCGCAGCCGTTGTTCTTTGAGATGAGAATTTGTGTTCACTTATTGTATCGGATTTTTTAATCATGTTTCACTTTTTAAATCAACGAGGGCTTCTTTGACTCTGCCAAGAACGCGTACCAGGTGTTTGATTATTTGCTTCATTCAAAACATGTGATAAGTCCCAGATAGAAGCAAGGTAACTTCGACATGTGGTTATTCGCAGATTTAAGCAAATGTTTCCTGTCTCAAGAGAGCCTAAGTAATACTGGAGATTTAAGAAGCTTTCTTAATTATGCTTGATTTATATAAAGTTATATTTTAGAAATCATTATTTTGCACATACATCATCTCAATAAAGCATGCTTCTACAGTTCTACAACAACTGAGCTTTCACCATCATAAAGTAGTTGAAATGCTATATGATTAAATGTTTCTCTGAGAATCTCTGACATTAACTTGAGAATCTCAATAAAGATTGCAATGGAATTGTTTACAAAGTGTTTCTATCTCATTATGTTTACCCATAACACTTGCTTACCACAATTTCAAACATTTGAGAAAACATTTACATCCTTCCGAAAATGGTTAGTTGAGAGGTGATCAGCAAAGCCATCGTGAGTTATTAATCAAAGGACATGAAATTAATAACTGCTCTATCTAGTTTGATGTTTTCTCTTGCCAAACAAAACTTTATTTCTAGCTCTCCAAATACGATAAGCAACAATTGAGATAAATAGATTTGTTATGTACATATATCATTTATGACATTTAAGTAGTCATATAATATAGAAGAGAGGGGATTTGAATCAGTCTCAAACAAATTCATGAAATTCTTTCTCTAGAAACGATGACAAAAGAAGAGGTGGGCTTGTTTTCGAGGGACAAGCAACAAACCAAACTGATCATACCGATATTTAAACAAAAAGATGATAGAACATTGTACGTTTTAAGCTTTACTTGAATAGCCAACAATGAGAAAAAAGCAAATCTAAGCTTAACCTTTAAGTCAAATAGAGTAACACCAGTGAACCAAATTCAAAGAAGGCCTTATAGAATAAAAAACTTTTATAAAGTAGGAGTGAAAGTCATCCCAAAAAATCACCCTCATCATAGTTAGTAATAATAACAACTAAAGTTTCAAGTAAAACGACATGAATATTAGTAGGATGGTCATAAAGAAGCAGAGATACATTAAGGAAACAACAAAAATGGTGGAACTAGTATATGGGTCAAAGAAATATGAAAATCATTACTAATAATGTCAGACTGGGAATGCCTATCATTCCACAGTTGAAAAACAATCAATGTGATCAATCCTTATCAAAGAAGTATTTTACTCTAAATTTCAGTAGAGGCCTCATCAACCGCAAGGAAGAAGAACTACTATTGCTTTTGACATGTTAATAAAAATAATAAGATGAATATTCATCTCTTATCTAATCGGCTCAAAGACTATTAATAGTAACGATACACCAGACAATCTTTGGCTAATTCACAATATTGACAAATGTGTCGCCAATCATATTCAAGCACCCAAATTTTTTAGAAGAAAAATAGATTTCCAGGACATTGTTTGAAACTTATTATACGAATCAATGGAAATGAGAAATCTATTACAAGTAGAACACAACTTTTTAAGAATATCTTTAAGAGTGACAAAAGATTAGGTCCATAAGTTTAACTTGGCCATCAAGGAAGAGCATGCTAATTAGAATCAACTCGCCAGGATATTGTTTGAAGCTTATTATGTGAACCAACTAAAATGATAAATCTATTACAAGTAGGACACACCTTTTCTAAGATTTTCTTTTAGAGTAGAAAAAGATTGGGTCCATAAGTTGAACTTGTCCATCATTTTTTTTAGAAGAAAAATAGATTTCTAGGACATTGTTTGAAGCTTATTATGTGAACCAATGGAAATGAGAAATCTATTATAAGTAGAACATACCTTTTTAAGAATATCTTTAAGAGTTGCAAAAGATTGGGTTTGTTGGGGAACTAAAACACGTAGCGAACACAAACAGGAAAGATAAAATGCAGCGGAAAGAAATAACTCCAGGTTTTAACTTGGAAAAATTCAAAACAAAAAAAAAACATGGAGCCACACCATACCAAGAAATTCACTTTGAAAATTTGGGAGAAATAATATAGATCTCTCTTCTCTCTTACTCTTTCTTTCTCTTCACCCTTGCATCATTCTCACACTAGAACATACAAAACTACTAAGGGACACAATCCTTAATGAAAAATGAGAAAAAAAAATTGCCAGCCTGTCTCACATCGCCGCGGTGCTTAACTCTCTATCTCTAGTCTGTATTTGACCTCCACTCAAGTAAAAAAAGAGCCTGCTCAAATCTTGCCCCAATCTTGTGATTAGGCCAGCCCATTCCCTGCAATACAGCACTAAATTCATGCTGACTGGCAATGAGCGTACCGAAAAAAATGAACTTAAGTTTAAACTCTATCCTTTTATGTGAATTGATAGGAGTCAGCATGACTCGAACCGTCAAATAAATATGCGGTCATAGTGCCGACCATGATATCATTTTATACGTTTATATTAGGTCTTCAAGGTCTCTTATAAGAAAAATTCATTAATAAAAGCATAAAACCGACAATGAACCCCGATCCTCTATCAACAAGTGGACATATTCGACAAGGTTCAATGAATAAAATTAAATTGCTCATAAATATCCCGATGATGACCGTGTTGACAGAAAATCTCAATCGGAGAGGATCCTAAATATTTAAATTGCTTCCCAAATTTTCATGAAATGTAAAAATTTAAAGTGACAATAAAGTCACCTCGATGATTATGTGGAATATAAATCTCAATCTGTGGGTTAGTTTTCAAATTCTAACAAAAACTCCTAAACTTTATATCCATTAAGAATACTAATTTTTTAAATTGAAATTCAATCATTAAACACTTAAAGAAACAAAATACCTATCCATCTTTCACAACAGTTTGCTGAGGTGGATAAATCTGTAAATCATTTTAGCTCACAAATAACAAATGTCTAGATGAGAATATCACTAGGATTTATTCTCAAATCGTCTCCTGCTAGTAAGGACGTGACACGTGTTCTCTAACTGATGCTTTCTTCGCCAATAACACCACAGGTAAACGATTATGATTGAGACCCTCTAATTGGGTGGTTTTGCCGCCAAATGACATCATTACATTACAGTCATAATCAGAGCTCGTATGTTCTCCAACGGCCTCAAATGCTTGAGTAATGAATCAATAGGATATGATTGATAGGACACATAACCCTCTGTTAGCAAAGGTGAATTCAAATATGTCCTCTTAGGCAAATATTCAGCTCAAGTCTATAATGTACCCTTGGACGAAGCAACCCATGGCTGTCGATATGGTTCCTTCTGTCAGGTTGGTTCGACTACCTTCTCTGACTACGTAGACTAGGTACCATGATGACCTGCGATGACGGAGCCATAGGATCTTAATCGATTCTATCATCATTCCCCCCACCATCTGCTTTAAGTACAAGATGCTAAATTTTTAATTTTAAATATTATTTTCAAATATCTAAACTCTGCTCCTACTACATGTCAGATACTATGTATCTTTTTGACGAACAGCCTTAATCGAAAGTTCTCTCATTACCGGGAGGGGTAATTAACTATAGGGGCTTGCACCTATAGGAAACTTGAACTCAGATCATAAAGTCCTCGCAAAATGAGGCAAAATCTCTGGGTAATGTCTTAATCAAAACCCAATATGCCTTTTAAAAATTTTCTTAGGAACTTACTCGTTAGAACTCTCTTCGATGACCCGAATCAAAGAGAAAGGGGCCATTGAGAGGCCGGAGTGCGAATTTTTTTCAACCCACAGCTACCTGACATCTTTGTAGCGCTGGGGTTTGGAGCATTACAGCGCTCCTTGGCAACACTTCAGCACCAAGGTTTGGAGCGTCGCAGCTCTCCGCTCTTTGTTTTTCTCCAAGCAAACTATGCAGTGCCGGGAGCGCTTGGGTACACAATGCTGCAACACTATATAATTGAACAAAAAAAAAAAATCTAGCACAAAGCATTGAACCCAAGCACGAGGAGGACCCCCATGCAATCGTTTAGTGAGATCAATAGACTAAATTGATGCATATATTTTTTATTCTACATATTAAAGTTATAAATTTTAACAAAAATTACATAGCATTCCTATTAATATATTTTATGTAAGCTAAAGATAATTATATTTTGTTAGTTTTGTCTGTAAGGTCAAAGATAATTATATTGATACAGAGATTTTGTGCTTTAGGCCCCAAAAAATGGGCCTCTCTTGTTGAAAGTTTGGCGCCTAAGTACTACTTCATTTTTAATCTTCAAAGAGATACTTGTCTTAGCTTTGTCATTTATGACTGTGAGTGGGTTCTTTCAGATATGCTTTTTGTGTGCTGAGGGTGATAGGATTATGTGGAATAAAGAGGATTCTTTTTCTCTTTTCAAAGCTAAGCAAGCTATATTCGACAGTCTTATTGAATCCAATTCGTTTAAATTTTTGTGCTTTAAAGGTCACTCCATTAAGCACTTGGCTTACTGTTGGATGACTTGTTTTGAGGGGTTAAATACTGTTGATATTTGAGGGTTAGAGATTTGTGTGTTTGCCCAATTTGTAAGTTTTGTCATATGATAAATAAGAATCATCATCACTTACTCTATGGGTTCATTTTTTTTTTTTTTTGTAATTGTTGGTTTTGTTTTTGGGGGAGCGCCTAATTTTATTTCATTATGTAAAAATAATTACAGAACCAAAATTACAACCCAACTCAAGAAAGCTTATCAGAAGGCCAGCCAACATTAATTAAATTAAATTCTCGATTTTTCTTATTGTTAGACTTTTTTTTTTTTCTCTTTAAATCTTTAATATTATAGTATGAGCCCAAGTTTTTTGGATTCTTATATCCCTATCTCGAAATTCTTGTGGTGTTGGTGTGGATCTAAGCTTTGTGATAAATATTAATTTCTTCTTGGTAGCGGTAATATGCAATTCTCCCCTCATTATTTGTGGATATAATATGCAAATTTTGTTGGTGGTGGGAGACTTCTTTCCAACGGTTTGGGTGTCTCTACGTTGTGCTGGCCATGGATGGATAATCTTTTGGGACGGCGTTCAATTTCTTTTCTCCCACAATTTGTGGAGGCTCTCTTTTCTACGTTTGTTCTATAAAAATGCATATTTTATTTTGCTGTGGGTTGTGTGGTAATTCGTATCTTTACTGTGCGGACTTGTTTTCAGCCGTTTTGGGATCGGGAGGCTAAATTTTGCAGCGTTTATGCCTTGTATGGGTTTTATGATTCTTCTTTTGGGACGGCTTTCTTATAGGTTCTTAAAGCAGCTTTTTAATACAAAATTAAAAAATTTGGTACTAAGAAGCTGCTTTAAAAAGCAGAAAGAAAGCTGTCCCAAACGAAGCCTAAATTCTGCACCGTTTATGCCTTGTATGGGTTTTATGATTTTATTTTATTTTATTTTGAGCTTTTGGTCGGAATTATAAATTTTTAAGCTCATTTTATTGATACCTTTTAACATTAATTTTCTTAATACAATTGATGTTAGATTTATGACTGTGTCGATTATTAAATATTTAAGAATTAAAATAAAAAAATAAATATAAAATCTCTAAATCATTTATTTATTTTTTAAGATCAAAATTATTCAAATGTGAGTCTTTCTAAGGTTCTATTTGAGCTGATTATAGTATTTTATAATATTGGTTTTGAAGTTATTATGTAGAAGACAACTTAGCAATTATAGTTGTAATATCTAATATGTAGCTTTTTATCTTAGAAGTTTTTGAAACACAGTGAGGAAATGATGAGAAAATACACCGGTTCAGACCGGTTCTCTGCGAAGTTGGTTTTTGAACTGGACCGGATCGAATAACTGGCCAGTTCACGGTTGAACCGGTTGAACCGGCCGGTCCGGTTTTTAAAACCTGGTCCACAATTATATGATTTCTTTTTAAAAAAAAAAAAATATTTAGATCAATTAAAATAAATTTACATAGATATCACTTATAAAAAAATTAAATAAAAATTTTTTAATAGATAATCAAAACTTTCAACTAATCAATAAATAAAGATGAGCTTCGTCCACTGTTTTCAGTCCAAAAGAGTACTTATCTCAATAAGTTAGTCCCAAACTGCCATTACAAATGGCATTCTAATGAAGTTCTGATTGCTAAGATGAGCTTTTACATTAAACTTTATTGGAATATATTAATTACAAAAAAGTCCCTATTTGTCTGTTTTATAAAGCAGAAAAAATCTATATAAATAATAGTTACAAAACAGCCTAAATAGCAAAATCTATTTTTCCGAAGAGATAAACTCGACGTTAAATAGGAGAAATTATTGGGTGCGGAGTGCGGACGTAGCTCTGTGTGTGCAAATGAATTGGTTCGCGCCACGTGGAGCCCATCTTGACCCCATCGACTTGAAGAGAATGTGTGCTCTGCTTACCCGATAACCTGATAACACGAACCATCCGAACTACTTGAAAAAATGCGCGGTACCTATTAGTATCGAGCGGTACCTAGTAGTACCTAGATGCGGTAAAATAAAGAATAAACTCTAACAACAAACCCTAGATCTACAATAACTTATGGAACTTAGAATGCTTACAAAAATATGTCAAATCCTAGAGAGTACCCACCTCTAGGTACTACTAGGTACCGCTCGGTACTACTCGGTACTACTAGGTACATCTCAGTACTACTAGGTACCGCGCATTTTTCAAGTAGTTCAGATGATTCGTGTTATCGGGTTATCGGATAAACAGAGCACACGTTCTCTTCAAGTCGATGGGGTCAAGATGGGCTCCACGTGGCGCGAACCAATTCGTTTGCCCACACAGAGCTATGTCCGCACTCCGCACCCAATAATTTCTGGTTAAGTAGTCCGTCCCTTCTTAAGGCGATTACGTAGCCGTCACGCCGCCGCGTCAGCTTGCCCACTCAAATACTCTATTGCGCAGAAGGTCGTGTCGCCGTCGTCCGTCTCCTCTGCCGACACCATCTCTCCTCCTCCTCCTCCTCCTCCATCTTCAAATCTCTAATTTAAACTAGTTTTAATCTACCAAAAATTCGAGATGGCCTGTCTGCAGATAGCAAGATCCGGCTTCACTCCGGCGATTCAAATTCGACCAAACCTCTCTGTCCGCCGCCGCGCCGTTGCCCCCCTAGCCGTCCCGGTTCACAGTCGTCTGGAAAAGGGAAACGGTGATTCTAATGGTAACTGATTCATCCTTTTTGTTTCGATCTTCTTTGTGCTTTCCATTTATGTTAAATATTCTGAATTCTGATGCGAGATTGGGGGATTTTTAAGGAGAGGAGCCGCCGGAGTCTTTGTTCATGAAGGAGCTGAAGAGGAGGGGAGTGACTCCCTCTTCATTATTGGAGGATACTGAGAGGGCTTTTTACAGACAAGGCCAGGAAGATTTAGCGGCGGAGGAAGAAAACGGGGGTAGGAGGGGACGGTCTAAAAGGAATGGCGTAGCCTCGGCGGAGTACAAGAAGCGTGCCTCAGGGCAGCGGGAGCTATCTATGTCGCTTAACAGCGAGGGTATTGAGGTTCGTAATATTCACCAATTGTTTTATTTCATGCAAGTTGGGGTTTACTGAAGTTCATAGCATTTGAATCTGTGCTTTAACTTTTAAGCTTGGTGCGATTATTGGTTTAGTTGATTGATGTCAGGATGCTCTATACATCATAGCTTGCCAGTGGTTCATGATCCGTTACCTTTGCGGTCTGCATTGTGTTTAGAATTCATTTAATTTGAATAGTCTTACCTTATTCTTTAAACTTAAAAAAAAAAGTATCTTTTGTGGAGCAAACGCAAGATTCAGGTAAAAAATGAATGCCTATGACTGAAGTGGTGAGGCTATAATGGAGAAGGGTTACTGATGGATTCACATGAAGATTTCTTATAGAAACTAAAAAAACTATACCTTTTAACTTTTTTATGTGAGTGTTAAAAGATTCAAAGATGCAAACGAGCAGAGCCAAAAGGTCAAGTACATTTGATCCATGATTTAAGAGGCACTGATAATTATTTTAATTTCATTGTCTACCAAAATCTTGTCTCAGTAGTTGCTGTTTTCTTATATTTCAGCAGAACTTTCTTGTTTTGTAGTATTTTGTCGTTTATAATGCAGACGCATCTGAACTGTTCTTTCATTACATTATCTCTTTATGACTGTGCCATAGAAACATTCATGGTTTATAGTGTCCACTGTGTATGTGTCATAGCACTACGTAGTTTTTATTAACTAAATAAACTAATTTTCAGCCCTAAACTGGTAATAAATGTTGAAATCAGTAATTCCAATTTCCTGAGTTCTTTGTCATGCCCCATTCTGGATAGCAAAGTTTGGCAACCTATTGGCTTAGCTTGTTAAAGTTTATACTGAGTGTAAATATGATGATGCGCCATCACTTATTTTCTTGAACGAATAGAAAAAACAGAACTACAAAAATCTTTTTTAGACTTAAGAATGAAAGATTGGATCACTTTGCATCCAACCTGAAATAGAAATGTTACATTAACTTTCAAAATTCGATAGAAAAGAACTCTTCACTTTCTTTTTGTCTAATATTGCTTCTTACGCTCTACCAGGAATATAATTGGTTGCTAAAGCCTGAATCAACTATTAACATTGTAATGCCACCTAACAATCTAGATTCTTGAGTAAAATATTAATAGTAAGAATATTTTCATCAGAACAGACAACTAAAAAGGGGCTCTTCTTGCATCTGGTTGCTATTTTTACATGAGAATTGAATAACTTTCTTCATTTTTAATAGGCAATATATCTCTCATTAAATGCTTTGAATCTTCAATAAGTTGTTGCTTACCCTTATCCCTCCGATGGTGGTAAAATTTGTCTGTGATTGATTATTAAGTTGAGGATTGTTTTCTTTTTTAGCCCACAAATATGAGGAAAAAATTTGTTGTCAGCACAATCTAAACATGCAGCATGGGCATAGCTGTCTTCATTTAAAAGTTATACTCAAATAGTCATTGGATTTATCATTCTTTGTATTGAACTTGCATAATGCCCTTTTGGCTTTTTCCCATCCCTTGGATTCATTGTTATGTTACGTGTAAGATACATGAACTATATTACCTTAAAGTGGTATGATAAAAGTATTCTCATGAGGTTGTCTATGGTTTTGCTTATAACATTTTTCTATAACCCATAATCGTGTTGCAATTTTTTTTTTTAAATGCTATCTCAGTATTTCTGAATCTCCATAGGTTAGATTAGCTCTTATCAGACTTTAGAGAGGGTAGTTTAGCCTTATATTTTCTTACCTTAGCCGTTCATATGTAATGTTTTTTGTAATTCTTATGTTTAGGTGGTGGTTTTTTTTTTTCCTTGTCCTTTTTATGTTTTGGTGGTTAATTCCTAGGAATTTATCATATCATACTTTCTAGTATTGTTTTTTTAGAAGATGTATTGTTATCCTTTATCATGCTTTCTTCGTCACTCAAATATTTTATTGATGTTGATTCTCTCTTGCCTGTTATTTTGATGTCTTTGGAGATATTGAGATATAATGATGTCTATTTTATATTTCAATTAGGGTTTGATTCCACGGGCGAAGTTGCTCCTGACAATTGGAGGGACATTTTTTTTGGGATTTTGGCCTTTGATCTTGATCACAGTCTCTGCTTTTGCAGCCCTGTACTTAGTAAGTTTTGAAATCATCCTTTCTTGGTTAATTTTATTGTAGAATTCTATTTTTTTTAAGAACATTCTAAAAAAAAAGCAAAAATTTATAGTTATTTGTAGGGAAAGAAAATAAAATCTTATTTTTGGCAGAAAAAAAAAAAAAGAATATGAAGTCTTAATGATACTCATGCTTTATTGTATTGAAATTGTCTTGCATGTGCACCTTTATGCCTATTCATAGATCTTTTCTGATGGCATGTTCACATTGAATTGCATATGTAGGCAGTGTAGCTAAATTTGTTAAGGAGTTTGATTTTTCTACTTACTCTCTGATGTATATTTCCTTAGCTTGGGACCTTGATGTATCTTATTATTTTGTATATATTTGGGGACATTTAGATGAGATTTTTTGCCTAAACAAGAATTTTGTTTTGACAATTTAATGATATTACATTCGTTAAAGAGATATGGAGGCTTGTGCTAAATGTTAGTGGGATCAGATCATAATGGATTCATGATAGTCATGATGTTGACTTCACATCATGATGGAAACCAATTATTACAATTAGAATAGGAGTGTGCATTTGGTTGGTTTGTTTAATTTGATTACTAATGAAATTGAATCAAACTTTAACTTTGTAAATTCGGTTGGTTTTAAATGAACTGAAATATAATTACTCCTATAAGTGAATTAAATTATTTCTAGCTTAAATAGTATGTATTAAGAAGAATGCTAGTAATATTGCTAAAATTTATATTATTGACATGTAAAATAAATAATAGTCATATTAACTATTGCGTATTGATATACAACTCATAAGCTTTGTTAATTTAATATTTAAATAAATTAGTATAATTCAATTTTTATTTAATTAATTTTATCAAAAAATTGAAACAATAACAAAAAAATTAAAGAAAGTCAAAATTACACTCCATAATTAAATCAATGCTTTAATATTCAAAACAAACCAAACCAACAAAATAAAATTTGTTCGATGCAATTTTTTTTATTTATCCAAACAATGCAAACTCCTAATTAAAGCATTGGATTGCAAAAGTTTCAGAAGATTTGCAAGTGTACATTGATCACTGAACAGGATTAGACCATTATCGAACCAAATGGACTAGATGACCATTACTCTCTTCTTAATGATTATAGGACATTAAGGGTGGTACAACCATAGTGAGAAATGAGGAAATGATTGAAGAGACTTTCTGTTTTTCTTGAACATATGAATCTAATAAGGATATATTTTGAGAATTCTAGAAGTTTAAAAACTTTTCATGGTAGAAGAAGTTAATTCCCATAACTTTATTTTGTACTTTTTGTTAAACTAGTTTACTCTTGAACTTTAATAAGTGAGTGATGTTTACCCTTGATTGCAATAAAACTTCCACTTTAAGACAAATTTTTTGGGAAAACCTCTTCTCGCGGGATGGCTTGCAACTATCCCTGCCCTTCTCCTTAAAGCCACTAACATCATTTATCCTTCTTTCTTTATCAAAATTCTGTAGGGTTTGACTCTCTGGTAACCTTACACACATCATATATCCTTTTCCGTATGACAAATTGCCCTAATATTTTCTCATTCAGGATCCTTGTTTTCAAGACATTCAATGGAGATCAAATTCCTATGCTAATTCTTGAATATGTTACAACTTATGAAAATTCTACATAGTTCTATTGGCGATTTTGATTTGAGCATCACCAATTCTCACAATATTGGAGGGTTCATCATTAATATGATATTGTTTTTTCGTAGTTTCCAACTTAAAAATTACACATATTATTTATATTTGGTAAAGCTAAAAGTCTAAAAGATGTGCATGAATTGAAGAACTAGGACTCGGTGGAACCATCAACACTAATGATTAATGCAACTTGAATCACCTATTGTGCCTTTGTTCATTGAATCTTCGTTTTTGTTTAATTTTCTTCTATTTTCTTTAAGGGTTATCTCTTTTCATGAGCATGGCTTTGCATATTGCCAACATAGGTCGCTGATATTGACTTTTTATTTAATAGTTGTAAATTCTCTCAACTTTGTCTTTTTTTGTACTTCTTCCTCTGCCTTAAATATTGAAAGCCTTTATTTGGTTCAGTAAAAGTAGATGTATGACTGCCCATATGTCTGCCTACAAGTTTCAATATACTTGGTTCATGTACATCAATTTTGTCTCCTAATTTGGAAAATAAAGCTTATTTTGATACAACTTATCTTCAATTATCATCTTCCAGGATCCAAAATCTTTTACATTGACCTTATTGTTCTTGACATTTCTATTATCACCATCCATTGCTTGCACTCTTTCCTCGAAGTTTCATAACTAGCTTCAATACGAATTATTGGGAAAGTAACGGAGTTTTAAAAACGAGGATAAAAAAAGTACTTAAAAGGAAAACTCAAAATAGATGGCAAGAGAAATTATGTTTTTGGTGAGATTTATCTTAACTGCATTCGCATCAACACAGAGAAAAGATTTCTCCATTATTCATAATTTTATATTCCACGTTGTCATTTGAATTTAGTGAAGGATTATAAATGACCAATATAAAGTTATTGGATATGCCTTAAACAGCATGCAGAGAGGATGATAATTTTTCTTTTCTTTTTATCTTCCTTCTTCATCCACTATTTTTATATCTTTTTTTGTTGTTGGTTCTCACCCTCTACTCTGTCCACCTCTAATATATCATTTTTAGAATCATGTCTCTGCCTCTCTCCATTCCTATTTGGAGAAGAAATATCTTTGACTCCATATAAGCAACTTCAGTGACTTTTAGAACAAGTCGCCTTAAATCATATAAGAATATGATTGCTTTGAAAAATGAGTTTGTTTAGTGGATTCCACTATAGAAAGTGAAATCTAGCTAAGATAATCGTGTTTTAGAACAATAAATGCTGATAATTGGTTATAGTGATGGTGAAAGGATGAGGGGCTAATGACCACCTGCCTTTTGTATGAAGTCTAGTTGAATGCTTAATTATTGCATTTATCATCTTCTTGGCCAACATTGATTATTTGGGAGTACATATATTAGGTATATTTATGATGGACACTGACTTTTTTTTAATTATATATTGTAGTGACATGGCAATCATCATTTTTATAATATGTCATTGTTGAACCATGTACTAAAAAATCCACGAAAAAGAGGCAAAATTGGCGACTCGAGCTGCGACACGTTACTTAAGTGGCCAGACGACTTTTGATTGTCAAATGGACTGTGTCGTTGCGATCAGAATGTCAAATTTACCTAAGAGGGAGCCCCTTGTAGTCAAATCAGACAAAATTGGCCAAAGTTTACGACCGACACCAGAAAATGATGCGCGACATTGCCTCAACGATGTTTGCTAGCAAAACAGACTTCATCGTTGCGTTCGAAATGTCCTAATCATCTTATAATGACTGTAATATTGCCTAATGATCTCACGCGGAAAAATCAGAGCGGATCTCAAGACGAAGACATGCATTTCAAGGCGATGATGGCACAAATTATGAAATGTTGGCACACAAATCGATGCACAAAACTTGAGGAACTTTATTCCTACTCAAATCCTCGAAATCCTGCTTAAATCTTGCCTAAATTTAGGTTCAAATCCCGCTTACATGTTGTTCGCCGCCACTCGCATCTCTTCCCGCGAGCTCGCCTCGATTACCTATTAAAACAGCGACAAGCGGAGCTCTCTGTTCGATTCCTTCCAAGCACGAACTCCCTGCTTCTCCCAACCACTCTGCCGACCTCCTACATCCGTCCCAACCTCTAGCTGATCCCGACCTCAGCCACCCGTTCTTCTTCAATCACGATCTGACTTCCACAGCAGCTCCAGCCCTCCACCTAGCCAATCGACGCTCCAGCCCACTCGACGACCCACACAACTCCCACACCAGTTGCCTGATAAGCTTCCAGTCGAATCCCTTCAATCCTCCAGCAGACCCGTTCGACTTCCCACCTCCTTTTCGCGCCTAGCTCTCCTCCTCCCTAGTCGCAATCCCCTGCCGTGAAGCCTCCCAAGCCTGATTTCCTGACCTCTCCACTCTCGACTACAGTAAAAACAACTCCCAGCAACTCCCCTCTCCATCCCTCTGTCTGCACCCAACAGCAACCGAATACCAGCAACCCCCTCAATGTCCGATCTCCCCGCTACATACGCTGAACTTCATTTCCCTACAACCTCTGGTTGCTCATGAGGCTTTTTCTACTCAAAGTTCTCACACTACAGCCTTCTCCTATCAAGCCCAAGTCCCGTCACTTCCACTCTTCCACTCTTCCAATCCAACTTAAAAACCCTCATCTTCTAGCAGCCAATCTCCATGCAGCCCTCACAGGCCATTGTATTGGGCTGATTTTGGTGCTGTGCAGCACTTGGCCTATGAACCACTCAGCCCTCCTATCCTCCTCATAGCTCTACCAAAAGCAGCCCATCACTCCACTAAGCAGCCCGCTTCATAGCCCATGCTTTACACTCCTTCCTCTCCACATACAGCAATCCCACTCAGCAAATCAAATCAGCCTCCGCATAAAACAACGCTCAAACCTACTCAAAACAGCAATCACGCCCATCTACAACCCACTATCCTCACATTTTCCCAACAGCCCCTATTCTTCACCCACATCCAAACAGCAACCCTCATTAATCTCTCTCCCTCTCTACATTATTTAAAAAAAAGAGAGTAAAGAGAGTAAAGAGAGTAAATTTGAGTGCGCCCCAGCTTTTGCGCACTCTGCCGTCACCTCCATCGCCTCAACATCATCATCGTTGCTCCGCTCACTAAGGTATATTGTCACATAAACTCAAAAACCCTCAAATCTTGTTTTCAATGCTTGCGGCGCAATGAGCGGACCACCTATACACATTTTTCTTAGTGTGGTAGAATGGAGCTCAGTACGACACTTCAGCGAAGTGGGTAGGCCATGTACACTTTTTTCTTAACATGACGGAGACACTCCTAAGTAACCGTGTGCATTCTTCTATGCATATGGGGAAATATGCGAGCTTCAATACAAGTAACCTCAACGATTCACACATGCTTTTCGTAGTGTAGTGTGATAAAAGATATCGGTCGCGGTGTCACCTGACACTTCCTAAACATGTTTTTTGTAGCGTGGTGGGAAGGCCCAGCTCTCCAAATTCTCATAAATAGTAGAGACGTCGGGAGGCTGCCGAAATTCAAAATTGACAGGGAACAAAACTTGAACAAAAATACATTGGGCTTAAATGAACTACAAGGAACCAAACTTATACTCAAACTCACAAAGAGCTGGACCTAATATCAAAAATGAAGTTCGCAAATCATACAACAACAAGCCTTTATCGTGCTATGTGGGGTTTGTTACAAGAATCTTTTTTCTCCATTATGTACTATTAAGAGTCAAATTCTCATTTAAATCTAATAAAGAAATGTTATTTCTAATATTTTCTAAGTCTTTTTAGGTCTACCTCAACTTTTTTTAACATAAGTCAAATCTAATACATCTACTTTCCTAATCGGGTCATCGGAAGACCGTTGTTTTATGTGACCAAACCATCTAAGACGACTCTCTCTAATCTCATCTTCGACTGAAACTACTCCAACCTTTTCTAAAAATAAAATGACAAAAAATGAATATAAACATACTAGTAAGGGCTTGTAGTGGACAAAACTCGAAGAACAATTGGCTTGCAAGCATTGATCAATAAGAATAAAAGGGAGTATGACAATCTGATGCAAGCCATAATATGGAACCCCTAATATATGCTATAACTTACATACGAACAACTTGAAACTTGTAATATTGATATCAGTCATCCCGTAAGCCCTATGCATTTCTCCACTTCAACCATCCAACTTGAATCTACTAATAATATCCCCATTTATTTCACCATTACTTTGAATAATAGATCCAAGATATTTAAAATGTGTACTTTTATTAATGACTTGATCGTCCAAAGTCACAATCCCTCCACTAGATCTATTATTACTAAAATTTATACTTCATATATTCAGTTTAGAATCTTCTCAAACGAAAGCTTTTAGGCTCGAAGGTTGACCTCCATAATTCAATTTTACCTTTAACTTCCTCTCTAGTCTTATCAACAAGAAGAACATCATCATCAAAAAGCATACACCAAAGTACAACCTTTTAGAAATGTCTAGTGAGAACGTCCATGACTAAAGAAAAAAGATATTAGACTTAACTTGGAAAATTAATTGTGCAGAAGATGATTGTTTTTTTTTTCATATAAAAGTTAATATCTGTCTCGATATGTATGCATGCATTCTGGTTCATGAGCACGCCCAGTACTTCAGACGATATAAAAGTTAATATCTGTCTCGATATGACTACGAGAGTCTGTTTGTTGTTTTTATCATATTACTATTGGCCTACTCCATCATATTGTTTATCAACCTTTCAGGTACTTAAATGAAAGGAACATGATAGGAAGTGGATGCAATTTCCTTGAAATCAGCAAACGACAATAAGAAATGACGAAGAAAAATATTCCAAAATTATTTTTATTACAAGATATATAAAAGAAAATAGCAAGATATAGTTGGATTTTCAATTGGAGAGGAAGATCCGTCTCTTCCAAATCCCTAGCCGCCTGCTAGAGCCCAACTAACATAAGAATAAACTAAATTCAGCAAACTCCCGAAACATCCTCTGAAATCACCCTATTTTTTAAAAATTATCTTAATAATTTTATTATATTCTAATTGAAATCACTCTATTGTTAGCTTTAAATAGACTCACATAATTCCCTTCTAAATCAGTCCCCTTTCTTTAAATAATTACCTTTCATATTTGAATTCAAATTAGATTTATTTTCTTAATTAATTTCCTCTCAATTGTAATTAAAACTTTCCTAAACAACCCCTCTTAATACCTCCTCCTTTTTCACTAATTAATTCCCTCATAGATTTTGAATTCAAATTAGATCTCTTGCTTAAATAATTCCCTACCAATTGTGATTTAAACATTCCTAAATAATTTTCCTTTAATTAAGAACCTTTCTAAACAGCTCCCTCTTTATTAGAAAACTTCTTGATTCCCTCCCAATCAAATTGGCCGGATTAGAGGATTGTCATATTCCATAATTTAAGCTACTCTCATTTTTTTAGTGTTTGGGCTTGATACAATGGTTGGATTGTCTTTGTTGTGATCTGCAGGTCACGATGTAATCGTCCCTTTAGAAATAAAGGTTCAAATGTAACACAGACTAATCCGCAGACATTTGTCGGAGCTTCGTGCAATCACTAATATAAAATTATTAAGTGTTTAATGAGCCATCAAGATCTTTATATTCTATAAATAGTAATACTCTCCCTTAGAAAAAAAATGTTGAAGGCTTCTCTCCCAATAAATATTAAAATCATGAGCATCCTCTAATTGCCCGTCTATTTATCACTTAACGTATTTCGAAAGTTTTAGTTAAGCTCGATGATATTTAATTATTCCGTTATCTGGTTTTTCTTGCCGTCTTAGTAAAGATTTGGCAGGAAACAAGAATCCTTCTTCTTCTTCTTCTTTTTTTAAAGTTTCGTGGGCGGCATAATGACCTTTTTTTTTTTATCTTATCTTATCTTTGTATGTCTTTTAGTTGAATGAAGTACAACTAATTTGTTAGTGTTTGCAGTACTTTGGGCCAACTTTTGTTCATGACGCCAGCAAGATTTCAGCATCACCGCCGCCATATATAGAGCCATATGAGCTTCTGAAAGATGAAAGGATATCAGAAATAGCTCCAAATGTGAAATAGACCACGCTCAACCTTAATACTTCTTCTTCATTAAGTTTGTGAAAGAGAACATTTCCATTCACATGTAATATTCTACACCATAGCAGTGAATTATGTTTGGAGGGTAATGCAGCTCCCAAGTTCCCACTATGTTATTGAGAGAGTTTTTTTGTATTGGGGCATAGCAGAAATGTTACAGTACCCTTAAAGCTCTTTCCTGATTCTTTAGCTTTGTATTAAAATAGGACAATTAAGCGAGCTTATTTTGTTCATATACTGCACTCTCATTGGATTTATAAAGAAGAAAAGCAACATAAGCTTGTACAGAATTTATATTTGTCCAAGAAACAGGTCAACCAAATTTGAACATGTTCTGATGTAGTTAAAATCAGGTTCACACGTTTTCCAATTCATTTTCTCAAAGAATACATTCCTCGATCATTAACTGATATATAAATCATAAAGAATCATTGTAAACATATTTCATAACATTTAAATACTTGCTTACCTATGATTACTAAAAAACAATTCAATTATATGTTATTAATTATTTTCTTGCTATGTATTTGAGTACATTATTATTCAAATAATTTTCTGAATGATATTTGTGTTTGAGATAGTTCAAAAGTCTCCATCAATAGAATAAAAACTCTCTATTCTCTATTTTTTTTAACTCTATATTCTCTAATTATTTGTTCCTTTAATAGAGATATTAAAAATATATTTAAATATAAAAAATTGTAAAAAATGTATATATTTTTTCAATTTCAAACTTAGGGGCTATGTGGTATCGGATTTGTCCTGAGATTTAAGGTAAATTTAGCCAAACAATTTTTGGAGGTCACCTAAATTTGAAGCCTGTGTAAATTTAGGATATAATATACAATTAGCCATTATCTCGCAATAATATAGTCTTACAATTTAGGTTTTGATGATATGCATGTAGAATGCGTGAGCGATAATGCGATATACACAGAATGCATGAGCGATATCGAATCATCAAATCATATCTATCTCCATAAAACTAGTAAAAAATCTTTAAAAATTATTTTAAAATATAATAATGTGTTGGTTAGATTTGAAATTTCAATCCAATGATATTCTCGTTAATGTATGATCAGAAATGCATAAATTTTTAAAAAGAAAATGTTTTGAATGAGTAAGCTCTAATACCAACATTGTTCAGGTGATGACATCACCATTCACTCCAGCCAACCAAAAGTACAACCTGAAATCCCAAGTAACCAGAAGACCATAACATCGTACTAGGCGAGTTGTTGTTGGAGAAGTACGTATATGGAAATTTTTGTAATGGTAATTTGAGGAATGAGTAGCAATTGAGGTTGGAATGACTAGTTAAACATACCAATAGCAATTGATGAGTTGTGGGAGGAGATTAGTCAGATATTTGTCTTACTATTAACTAGCTTTCACAAATACAAATTCAAATTATTAACTTAGGTAAACTTTCAAATTGTAGGCCAATCCAAAGCTAACCCGATTTCAATGACATCCATTTCATCAGTACAAAACTTTCGAGTAGATCTATACTAAAAATATTGTGATTGGCACAGGTACAAAATCAAGTGAGGTACCCCCACCAATGGTTAACTTAGATGAGGAAAAAATTCCACATTTCAAACATGAGTTTATGTACGCTAATGGTGTTAACTATGAAATTGAAATGACCCCTAAAAGCAATCTACTAGATGATGTAGATGATGCGCCATAGAGTTTAGGCACAAATGCAAGTCCTATGTTAGGTTCAAAGAGATCTAGCAAAGAACATGCCTGATCTTCTAGATGCCCAAAGAAGAAGAGTGGGTAGATAATTTGAATAAGTTATTGATTGAGTCTAATAGAAATGCGGTTGTCTTCAAGGAGATTGTCGACATAGAGAACCTTACACAATGAATAATTGTTTGGTTAAGTTAGGACATCTGGAGAACCTAACTACACAAGCTCTTTTGACAGTTCAAGACGGACAACAAGGATAACAAAGATATATTCATGACTTGGGAAGGGGATTTGCTTACGGAATGGTTTGAGTATGTTGTTAGCTCACATCCCCGTTTCTACGCTTATAAAGTTTGGTTGTAGCTATCACACCATTATTGTGTTATGTCGAATGTTGTAAGAGTTCTATTCCAGAGCAACTTATGTGTGTTGTGCAAGTTGCAATTTTATTTCATGTACTCCTTGTGCCAGCTCCAGTTTTATTTCAAGTACTTCCTATAGCAATCCTTGTTTTCCACTACTTAATAAATTTGTTCACATGGTTCTTACAAATTTTTAGCACAAGTAATGTACAACTACTTTAATTGCGTAGCTATGTCAAACTATTTGCATAGGGTGTACCCGGATGTGTTATGTGAGATGATTGATTTACACATGCAAGTTACTAAGGTCATTGCAAAATAACTCTATCTATTCTAGAAGAGAAAACATCATCGGATGACGTACTACAAATTAGGCTACCAATGTTTGATAAAACATACATGGGTCATCGGTATGTACTTGACGTGCTTGATGGTCATCCAAGAAGAGTGTACCGATACTTCAAGTCACCTTCTGATACTTTCGTGAGTTTGAGGGACCTACTAGTCAGCTATGGGCATTTGAGTGACACCAAAAATATTCTCGCAGCAGAGCAACTTGGTATCTTCCTACGGGGTGTGGCTCATGCTTATAGTTACAGACAGTTGCGTGAATTCTTTCAATGCTAGAAATTATAAGTAGATACTTCAATCTAGTTATGTGTGCTATTGTGTCTTTTGCAGATGAATTCTTGAAGCAAATGTTGAATATGATCCGTTTGTACGTTTGAATGCACAGTTTTACCCTTACTTCATGAATACAGTTGGTGCAATTAATAGAACACATCCCTACGGTATTCAATAATAATTTACATAATCGTTATCATAAGGGTTTTACTTCGTAGAACATAATGGCTGTAGTTTCATTTGATTGGTAGTTTGTGTATGTAGCCTTTGGTTGGGAGGGTTCTATTGTGGATATGTGTGTGCTTAGATGAGCTGTGGAGTAAGGTCTGTTTGGAATGCCCCACATTTGTTATTACTTGGTTGATTCTGGTTACGCAAATATGGATAAGTTGATTGAACCATTTCGATGATATCGATATCACTTGGGTAGCTATCGGTGAAGTACATCTTGAAGATATGTAGTTCATAAAGAGTTATTTAATCACCGATATGCCCAATTGCGCAATGTGGTAGAGATGACTTTTAGAATTCAGAAATAGCGGTTTCAAGTATTGACGCACATGAGATAATTTTCTCTGTGTTTAAGCTGATTTGGTTATTGCATGTACAGTTTTACACAACTTTATAGGTCGATATCATGGGCATGATATATATTTCAATATGCTGAAGATGAAAATGCAGCATGAAAATCAGCATGGCGAAGTTGAATTGTCTTATGCTAACTTACATGCGACAATACGAAAAAAAATTCATGGATAAGCGATAAGGTATGACATCACAACCTATTTGGGGAATGCTCGGTTAAGCATTTTTCTTTGCGTAGAAATATTTCAACTTTGAATACATTTTGTAGTAATTTCATGATCATGATGGAATTACTCTCCCATGCAAGATATATCAAATTCTCTATCATATTGAAGTGTACTATCAAATAGTAATCTATTAGTGTCTAGATCAATATTACTCTATCATAGTGTCATGATCTTTTTCTGCATGTTGTAGTTTATGTTGTACGACCTCATGTTGAATTTATTATGTGGCATGAAGTTATCTTGAATTTATAACAAGCTTATTTATGTAATTCAACACTATTTCTTCATATTTAAATCTCTAACTGGCATAAGTCATGAAATTTGTTGTCAAACAATTTCTCAGGATTTAACATTTGTCATAACAAACAATTTTCAGCATCTAACAGCCTCACTATTTAATAGATTCAGATTTAGAGAATCCCACTAAAATTAAATCCAATCCAATACCAAACAACCCCTTAGGTAAAATATTTAATAAAAAATTGGGGAAAATTGAAATAGAAGGTGAACTAATTAAAACAATTTTGTTTTTATTCCTTTAATTTGAAAAATACATTTGTATGCAAATCAAAAAAGGTAAAAAAGGCTCAACAGCCCAAAGTAGGAACACATTGAACTTTGAATTTATTTTCTTAACGAACCCTGAATCTCCTAATGGTGGAAGTCAGCAACTGGTCACCTGCAATGGACCTCATGTATCTAATAAACATTTCTTTGCTAATCCTTCCCACCTGAAACAAACATAAGAATCTATATGACTTTACGATCCAAATTCCCTAAAGATTTTCTAACAAAAAAAAGAAAAAGAAGGTACTGGAATTTACCTTATATTGATTGTAAAAAATCTCCAAAGCTTGCATTTTGGAAGAAGGCAAGCTTCTTCCAATCTCTGAAAACAACTTACAAAATGGAAGATTTGTCGCAGAAGACAACTTTTGCACTCCCAATGGCTTCTTCAGCCCTATATCCACAGAAATATAAACTAAGAATCTAAAACTGGATTCAGCGAGCTGAAAAAACAAGCTAGAGATTATTTTATTTATCATACCTTTAGAATTTCCTGAAGACTTGAAGCTCACAACAAAATCAGGAATAATACGCGTGTTCATGTGAGTGTTCCACACCACATACCATTTCGGATTCATAATATCATCAACACCAGTATCAAATCCTTCATTGCTGGGATGATCCTGGATGGAACCTGCCTCTACTTTCTCAGATTTTCCCATTATAACTCTGCAAAGCAACAAATGCTTCTCACTATTTTCATCAGCGTCTGATAGCAGAGTACTGCAATGAACATTCAGAAATTTGCTCATCAAAATCACAGTTATTTTACATTACAAACATATACAAATTTGTACCAAAATTATAAAAAAAAAAATGTGATTGATTACCTGTCATAAGGAGAATATGGCGATGAGAGATGAATGCCAAAACCATGGTTAGAAATCCCAAGCTGGGCGCCGTTTGGATGTCTAAAGCCATCAGACAAGATTGCAGAAACATTACTTGTAGACGAACCATACCATCCAAATTTGATATTGGAATTTCCTCGAGCTTCCATTGTTTCTCTCTTTTTAAATTGGAAAGACAAAAGCCGAGAATTGGCTGAGGAACTGGAATGCAAGCATTTATGTATCGAAGTGATAATAGTGTCTGGAATGAATTTTTTGATCCCGGAAAGGAACAATTTTTCCACGACTTTATAAAACTTGTCGTCATCACTCAACAATTTGGTATCTGGCCATCTATTAGACGAGACCTCTGTGTTTTCATCACAGAGGCTTTTCCCGCAGTGAATATGATCTTTCTTGACGATTCCCAAACCCAACGACTCTGAAAGATTTTCTCTTTCATCTACTGGGAAGAAACACCTTCCCTGAACATCAATCCACGCAATCGAATTCCTCTTTCCTGTATTCAGATCGATCCTGGACATTCGAAGAAGGTCGAAAATATAAAACTTTTCATATTCAGCAATCTCCAACCTTGTCTTGCCGGCCAAGAAACCTGCTTTCAATTCTTCGAAGATCTTGTGTGCAAGGTCCACCCAGGTACCTTCAGAGAAAAGCAAGAACCTGGAAGGAACCCCGCTCTTCTTGAAGTTGCTGAAACCGCGAGCCAACTTCTCATTGGGAAGGAAAGAAGATGAAAGATCCGATCTTTGGATCGGAAACGCGTCAAACTGTGCTCTCCCATTCCCGGCCGTGATTTCCGAAGTAATCGAATGCTCCATTATCTGAATTCGTTCGGCAGAAGCAGATGTTCTTTTAAAACGGCGATGTAGAGGGTCTCGCAGCGTTCTCCCAGCGTTGGATTCTGCCGCCTCGCGTTTACTCTATTTATAAAAATTTCAATTGAAAGACAACAAGATAAGATAACGTTGTCGGTCAGCCACTCCTGGAAAGGGCCAAAATATTCTAGAAAATCACGGAAATACCATTATGAGAATATGCTTCTTCTCTAAGTTTCCATCTGGCTCTTTCAAATATCTTATCCCTAACTATTTTCTAATAATAACAAACTATGAAGTGTGGCGATGTATTTTAATTATTAGTTCATATAAAATATTATCTCATCCATGACATTTATTATTATTTTTTTATAAATATTTTGTCTTGATATGTAATAAAATTACTGATTGTAGGACATAGTTGACTTTTCTTTCTTGTCGATGAGAAGGTTGACTTTTGTTTTTTTTTTTCTTGAACAAGCAAGATTGCCGCCATTGAGAACTGAGAGACTTGGGGATTAAGCCACGGGAAGGAGAGATTTTGAAGCAAAACACAGGAAGAGGAAGAGGAAGAGGAAGACGAAGAGGAAGAGGAAGAGGAAGGTGAGTTGGGCTATCTGTTATCTATTTCTTAATTATATAATTTTTATTAGCAAAATTTTTTTAAATATTCAATAAGCCATAATTGTGGTAAAAATAATATGGAAAAGCATACACAAGCTGCTGCGTATTGTTATGCATAAAATATTTTATAATAAATAGCCAAATATATTAACTTCATATGGACTCTTGCATCATTATTTGTCTGCACACGTGCTTAGTTCAGCTAAAACTTGCTTCTTAAGACAGAAGAGGGAAATGAATGGCTAATATAGCATTGCTTTTGGCCAAAGCAAAGGAACAAAAAAGACCCAAAGGGGGAAAATGAGCAAAATTCGGAAAGCTAATCAAATTAATGTTGATTTAAAAAATTTTGATCTATTTTAAGATAAGTATAATATATTAATGATTAATATTGTACGCATTTTAAAATAATTTGAAATATTTTGAAGTCCATTGTCTCCGTTTTTTAATCATAATTTTTCCAAACATAATAGATGATAACAAGTAAGTAGGGGTGTCAATATTTAACATGATCCGAAAATCCGATCTGAATATGACCAGAAAATTCTAGGTTATGATCAAACTGTTTGAGATCGAAATGGGGAGGGTTTGGGATTTCAATCAGTTTGTAAAATGGGGTTGGGTTTCGGGTTGACCCAAAAACCCGAAACCAACTCAGATTTGACCCGGAAACCTCTTTGTCGCTCTCCGGCACTCGTCTCGCGTGAGTCAGAGTCGCGTCACATTTGGACTTAGCCCGTGCTACGACGCTTGTCTCATGTGAGTTGCATCGCATTCAGACTCGGCTCGCATCACATTCGGATTCAGCCACGCGCCCTAGCGGCCAGCAACTTCTTCTGGGTCGGGATTCAATTGAATAAGTGCTCAAATTTAAGGGAGTTGGCTGAATAAGCACACGAATAGAAGAAACTCCCATTGCCACCGTTGGATTTACGAAATATGGCTGAATAAACATGCAAATTGAAGAAAGCTCATGTCGAGTCGATTGCTTACGGGTTGGGTTAGGTTGACCTAAACCTAGACCAGGTTGGGTTCATGTTGGGAAAAGTGACCCGATTTTTAAACCGAGTTGGGCTTGAGTCAGGTTAAAGTCATATTGGACCCGAACCTGATCCGTGGACACGATTTGACACCCCTTCAAGTAAGGTCAAAATATTCTAAATAAAACTTTGATTATGATCATGAGACTCGAGCTCTTTAAATATATTTTGAGATGAGTATAATACATAAATAAATAATGTTATAGTAAACTAAAAAAATCTAAAGATTTTGAAAATATTAATCAAATTATCCCAAATAAAATCTTAATTTGACAGATGAGCCGTTTTCATATGGAAAAAAAAAAAATAGTTCAGCAAGGTTTGAACAAAATAAGAAAATGTAGGTAAGAGATATTCAAGAATTAAGTTGGTGGACTTTATGGATTCTATTTGAAATCAACGTCAACTCCGTAGATCGAACACGTGTTAAATGAATCTCTCACACAAAGGGTTATTTTTTCTATTAGTATCTTCATCTCCTTATATTTGTTTTGTTCCAAGTAAAAGGAGATTGAACGACTAAACAAATAATAGGGATAAATTTATATTTTTATATTTTTTTATTATGTGATCGCTAAATAAAAATATAAGATAAATCAAAAACAAAATTTGTATGAATCTATGAGATGATCTAATTATATTCATAGTCCAAAAAGGATCAAAATATTTGTTAAAACATAAAAAAGGAGATAAATATGCGAAGATGTTATGCTTTGTTCATTGAGAGATGAGAAAAAATTAATTACCACTTATGAAGTTAGGTGAAGCCAGATAAATCTCCTATATAATATAGTGAACAAAATAGAAAGCATGCAGCCTCTTGATATCAATGGCCAGCTGGGAGGAAATAAGCTTCTCTCTAATCTTCTCCTCTTACGATATCGAAGAATTGCTCAAAAATCGATATTTCTTTCTTCTCTTTTCTTTCTTTTCTTCTACGATAATAACCCAAGTTTCTTCCTCCCTTCTATTTCACCAAAGCATTCTCTCCCCCTTGCAATATTTTTCTTCTTCGTATTCGACGAATGCAAAGAAAATCCTCGACGAGATTATTTATTGATGAAATTTTATATCAATTTGGAAAGTTTAATAACCTCACACTCAAGAAAATAACATCCCATAAATCACCCAAAATTAATTAAAAATTATTCTCTTTCTATAAATGACTCACATCAAATCTCAAAGAAGATCTGTCATATCTAATAAAATAAATAAAAGATTATCTCATAATATTTTCTCCCAAAACTATAAAGCAAATCTCTATTATATATAGTTAAAAGATTATATGTTATATTAAGAAAGCTTTAATATATTTAGTAAATAAGTAGATCGAGATCTCTCGAGTCTTCCTAGTCCACATAGCTCTCTTAACAATTCTTTCACAATACTCCCTCTCATGCTTTGCTTGCCATATACGCTCAAAAATGCCCTTATATATATATATATATATATAATTTTCTCAATTTAAACATTTTTTTTAGTTATGAGTTGAAAATATTTAATTATTTTTAATGCATATAATATTTTTAGAAATATTTTAAAATAAATTCAACAAAATTTGAAATCATTAATAATAAATAACAATATCTAAATTAAATTTATTTACATTTTTTTCTTGGAATTATTTTAAATAATTGGCGAATCTAAAGAAATTTTTTAGTTAAAAAGTTTTTAATTTAAGAATCTTTTTTACTGGAAAGATTCTTTTAGTCAGAAAGCTGATGCAAACGAAGCCTAATTTTTGAAATCTTCAGGCAAAGAGCTTTCTTATTATTGGAACAGATAGTAGAGGAGCTCTCAAAATTAGAATTAAACCTTCTATCATTTTTCTCTTTCCAAACATGAAAGACAATTCAACAAATGATAAGGTAATAAAAATTTTTAGAATATTTTATAGGGCTATATATGTAGCTTATCAATATAGTCAATATCGTGATCTCTGTATTTCTGCTAATTAAGGAAAAAATCTAATGGAACTTTTGATCTCTAAAAAAATAAAAATAATTAGAATTTAGGTTATTTAATCAAAGTGGCTTGTGAGTTATCGAGCCAAGCTTCATTAAATTTAACCACGATATTATATAATATGTGAGATGTAATTAAAGTTAAACTCTTTTTTACTTAGACCAACTTTGATTCAGGTTTTTGATTACATTGATAACCAGCTCCTTTTGTCCAAATGGGAAAAGAACTTCTGCTGGCTTACGATTGGCTGCACTGTGTACCACCTTTGGAGAGAAAGGAACAACCGGAAATTTGCTAACAAATGGAATTCTATGGAGAATATTACCATTACTATCAAAAACGCTATACGGGTCAAAACATGTAGCTGGAAGCATTTTCATCATCTTATTGAGAAATTTCAGTTCTACTGAAATTTTGGGTGTTCTGTTGTCAGGCTGGGGCGGGAGCATTCTCTTAGCTGTTTGTTCCCGTTGATGTTTTGGTTTTGTAATTGCTGGGTTGTATTGTTTTAGTTTATGATTGGCTCTTTGTTAGGTTTGATTGAGTTGAACTCTTTGTCTTTGTTAGTCTTTGCTTTATTGTAAGTCTTTATGTATCTTTTTCATCTTAATAAAATGGGCTATGCCCCGGTTCTTCCAAAAAAAAAAAAAGTTATTAAAGTTAAAGTTCATGGCCTAATAAACTAGCTCAACCCGCGAGTTCATTAGTAAGATGAATATGAGCGACCTCATGAGCGGCTCGTCTCACTTACGCCCATATACCCAACTTAATTATCTCTTTCCTTTTACTCCACATTTTTTATTTCCCAATCAATTTCAGGGAGGAAGTAGAGGGAAGAAAATAGGAAATCATGAATAATAAAATATTATTCACACACTTCAGTGTTTACATAATTTTGGTGTGTATGTGTGTGTGTAAGTAAAGAATGTATGTTAAATGTTGGTGATATAGCTGATTATATGCAGTTGTAATACTCCCCTCAACGTGTACTATATATGTTCTTGATGGACATTTTAGACATTAGTGTTGAGAAAGGTTCACGAGATAGAGGTTTGATAAATATTTCAGCTAGTTGATGTGAGGACCGAATTGGCATGAGCTTGATGAAACTATCGGTGACTTTGTCTCGAATGAAGTGGCACTCAACTTTGATGTGTTTAGTTTGTTCATGAAAAGTTGTGTTAGTGACTATATGAACAGTAGCTTGATTATCACAAAATATAAAAGTTAGAGTTTTTTTGTGTAGCTCTCTAAATCTTTTAAGAGTTGAGCTATCCAAGTTAATTCACTAATTGTTGTGGCAAGCGCATGATATTCTACTTCGACTGAAGAGCACGAAATAGTGTTTTATTTTTTTTAGATTTTCAAGATACTAATTACTCTCCTAGAAAGATGCAAAAACTACTGACAAATTTTCTAGTGTATGGACTAGATCCTCAATCCTCAGTCTGCATTTGAGAAACTTTGAGCTTAAGTTTTGGAAAAATAATTAAATTCAGTATCCTAGTATAGATTTGAGAAAAAAAACATGAAAGTTAGCGACTGCAAGATGTGGTGTATGCGGTTGGGCCAAAAATTGACCAAACTTGTGAATAACAAAAGTTATGTCGGGTCTTGATAATGTAAGGTATAGTAACCGTCCAATGAGGCGCTTGTATTGTTTCGCATTTGGTAGGATATCAATCTCCATTTGTTGCATTGAGGTGGCTCCGAGGGTCCATTGGAATGATGCTGGGTTTACAAGAAAACATACCTACATCTTCTAAGAGTTGTGATGAGGTATAATGCCTTTGTGAGAGAATGATACTCATGCTTTATCATGCGATCTCAACCCCAAGAAAATATTTGAGACTGACGAGATCTTAAAGGTTGAATTGTGAATTGAGAAACTTCTTAATAAGATTTATTGCTTCATTAAATGGTCTTGCAACAATAATATCATCGTCATATACCCAAAAAAAATGTTGAGGTTAGAATTAGTTCCAATAGTAAATAATGAATAATTTGATTTTGATTGTTTAAAACCAAACCTTATAAGTGATTGAGAGAATTTTTTCTACCATTTTCGTGAAGCTATTTGAGCCAATATATGTATTTATAGGCAACATGTCAGTTTCTTCTTCTGCTGATAAACCTCCCCCTTATTGACGTACTCGCGAGGTTAGTTCAAATAAACTTATTCAACTAAATCCCTGTTAAGAAAGCATTATTCATATCCATCTAGATCAAGTTCCAATTATGATTGACAATAAATATTGTTAATAAAATTTTAATGTTTTCCATTTTGGCGACCGATGAATATGTTTTTCCAAATTATATCCCTTCTTGTTGTGGGTGTCCCTTCGAGATAAGCCGAGCTTTGTGCTTATTAATAGAGCCAACATGATTATACTTAATTTTATAATCTTTTTTTTTTTAACCCACAGAGGGGCAATCCATTACTAAAATTGATTACATGCCTTAAGGAGAAGTCAGCTCTCTAAAAGGACAAAACCTACGAACCGACGTTCAACCAATACAATAAAGCAAAAGAAAACAATCCAACAAAAACAAAGCTAACACAACATGAAAGGAAACCCAAATCTCCGAGCCAACCAAAAAAGCACCAGCAAAAGAAACTCAACGGTCAAGTTCACCCAGCCACATGGACTCGATCTGGCAATTCTGCTTCCACCTAGTAGCAAGGAAATGACCATCCATTGGCAGTAGAAAGCCACACCATCCAACTGAAAATCTAATCATAGAGGAAACCACACTAACCACCAAGATTGTCAACACCAAGCCAACCCAGGGTTAATCATAATTGCCTCATCATAGTCCACATATCAACAGCAAAGCCAAGCCAAAATAATCACAGAAAGAAATTACTTTTTCTCTTAGCTTTACTTTTAGATCTCTTTCGAGCATCAAATAAATCCATTTACATCCAATAGCATGCTTTCCATGGGGCAAAAGTGGCTACAGTCCAAATATTATTTATTTCCAAGACATTAAGTTCATCTTTCATCGCTCTGTCATTTATTTATTTAGTCGACTTGATGATAAAATTGTGGCTCAAAATTCGATGAAATAATTAAAATATAATATGTATATGAATGAGAAATAGACTTATATTATAGATAATTACATAAAGCATATTTATTATTGGATTTACAGTGTTGGTTGTCGAAAGTGTTATTTTTGTTTGTATTATGCCAAGTGAGGAATATATAATGATGATCTTGAAGATAAGAAGGTTTTGTGTTTCTTATGGAATATGCCTTTTAGGAATTCATTGTGGCATATATAATGCATATTGGAGATGAAAATTTAGAGCTTTGATTCACACAATCTTAATGGAAACAACAAGATTTAGGCTATCCATCAATGTTTTTCCAAGGGAAACTTTTCATTTTATAGAAATGGTCGTCATCATTTCGTCCAAAGTGTGAAGAGCTTTCTTCTATCCTGTTGTACTAGCTAGGCTAAGATTCATAACCTTTCATTGGCTTGTTAGACTCCTATAGGTATTTTTAAGATTGCTAGCTATTGCCCCCTCACAGTTGACTCTCTCACTGCAAAAAAAAAAAAAAAAGTCTTTAGTATGTGTCCAAGTGCAAAATTGCTCTACCTTACCAGATGTAATTTTTGTTTATATTACTGGCTCTAATTACACTCTTAAACTCGACTGTGATTCTTTCATCCATTCTTTAAAATAGGTGTAATATAAAAATGAATGAATCAATTAACAACATATTATACTCATCTTGATATAATTAAATTTAAAAATTTTAAATTTATCATGATCAAAAGAATTGGCTGAGCAATTTTTTTTTCTTGACAGGCATTTTAAAATTTGATATTCTATGATTTATCATAGATAAAAAAAATTGAGTCTATTGAATTTATTTTAATATAAAATAATATATAAATTTAAACTAAACTTTTATATGTTATACTCGCATCAAAACCCAAAAGATTTTATTCAGCAAGAAACGGATTTTACATGAATTTGATTTCAGTACTGCAGCATTTAAAAAGTACAAAATTTCTGTTTAAAAATAGGACCTTCATTAATCCACGCAACAAGAAAAAGAAAATAGCGAGATATAAAACAAGAAGTTCGATCACTGTTTCTGATAAGCAGAGAGCAAGAAGCTGACATCCCTGTGATCTCTAAGCAGGTCCACAACTCTTCTCATGGAAGGCCTGTTCATGGGGAAGGCGGAGGTGCAGAGTATCCCTACATGCAAAACCCTCACCATCTCCTTGTACTGGCTCGCCGAGCATGGCTGCAGCCTATAGTCCATTAGAAACCTCAAATCTTCCTTGGTCGAATGAGCAGCAATGGAGCTTGTAACCCACTTCACTATATCTTCGTTCTCCCCGAAAGAAGGATCAATAGCCTTCTTTCCTGTTACCAGCTCCAGCAACACAACGCCGAAGCTGTATACGTCTGATTTCTCCTTCACCTTCAGCGTGTATGCATACTCTGCATCGTTCAATGCACACAAATTGTAATTTTTGCCAAGAAAATGCATTATATAAATATATATTTTTTTATTTTTTTTTATTTTATTTTTTTTCAAACCTGGAGCGATGTATCCACAAGAACCCGCCACATGGGACATGAATTGCTGGCTTAGCGAGTCACCGCTGCACGTGTTCAAGCCCAAAAACCGAGCGAGTCCGAAATCTCCCACGTGCGCGGTAAAGTCGGCATCAAGCAGTATATTGCTCGGCTTCACGTCGCGGTGCACGATCGCCGGCACACAATCGTGGTGCAGGTACGCCAAACCCTGAGCCGCGCCTAGTGCAATCCTAGCCCTCCGTTCCCAATCCAACGGTTCACCGCCTATCTTTCCCCCATGCAACGCTTCGGCAAGACTCCCGTTTTCCATATAATCGTACACGAGTAACTTACATTCCTCCGCGGAGCAGTAGAATAGAAGCTTCACGATATTTGCGTGCCGCACACTCCCCAATGTTTCCACTTCCGCCCGAAATTCTAGGTCTTCAACTGCCCTACCTGGCCCACGCCGCCCGGTCCATAGACGTTTCACAGCCACAACCTGGCCCGTTTTCAGCCCAACTTTGTAGACCCGACCCGACCGTCCCGAACCCACTAAATTCCGTTCAGTTAAATGGTCAAAAATCTCCGATTCGTTAAATCCCACGCGCTGAAACGATGTTAACTTCCACGTCGATGTTGTCTTACCCAAATTCCCGCCCTCCTTCCACTCTTGCCGGCGGTGATGGCGACGACGGCGGAGCAACAACGAGGCAACAAGAAGCGCGGCGGCGCTGAGAATAACAGCTGCAGCTATAAAGCAAGAAGCACGGGCGGAACGGCTTATGGCTATCCCGGCCAGAGATGTGCAGCGAGGGAACTGCTCGGTACTTACAGCGCTGCAGAGCCCGGGATTATCTGAGAAAGCCCCAATTGACGCCTGAGTATATAGATCGGCCGGGATTTCTCCGGTGAGATTATTTCCGGAGAGATTTAGGGCGTTTAGTTTGAGCACAGCAAGCTCCGGGGGGATCCCACCTGACAGTCTGTTTCCAGAGAGATCCAGGTAGGTGAGTACGACGAGTTTTCCGATGCTGTTCGGGATTTCACCAGAGAACTGGTTTCTTGACAGGTTGAGCTCGACGAGGGCCGGCCATGAGCCGGCCGGAATGCGGCCGGAGAGCATGTTGCTCTGCAGATTAAGCTGCTGAAGCTTTGAGAGGCCTGCAATGCACAGAGGTAGATCACCGGAGAGTTGATTTTCACTGGCATCAATTACCGTAAGCTCTGATAACTGGCAGATCGCCGATGGAATCGTACCGGAGAAATCATTTTCTGCGATTATGAGTTGAGTAAGGTTCCGCAAGGTGAAGAGCACAGGCGGCAGAGATCCATTGAATCTGTTGCCGCGAAGTTCGATTAGGTAGATTTTGGGAAGGCTCCAGAAACTATCCGAAATCCTTCCCGAGAAGTCATTGTTTTGAATTCGGACATAAAAGAGGCTCTTACATTCACCGAGGCTCGACGGAAGCTCGCCGGATAAATAGTTATCGAAGGCAACAAGCCTTTGCAGTGCTCGCCTGGCACATAAATCGGGGGGTAGCTTTCCGATGAGCCGATTCGTGGATACGTCGAAGTGCTCGATATCAGAGTACAGACCGAGCGCTGCAGGGAGTTCGCCGGAGAAGCTATTATTGAAAAGCTTCAGCTCAACAAGATTGGGGTTCAGGGCGAGAACCGCCGGAATCTTCCCATTAAAGAAGTTATCATTGAGCCCGAGCGAGATCAGATGCAATCCGGCCAACTTATCCGGCAGTCTCCCAGTTAAATTGTTTTCTGAGACATCGAAATAGCGCAGTGAAGTCAGATTTCCCAAAATCTCTGGAAGGTCACCGGAGAGTTGGTTTTCATATAACTCTATTTGGTTGATGCTTGCAAGCCGTCCGATACTCTCAGGAATCGTCCCTGTAAGCGCATTGTGGGAGAGATCAAGGTTCCGCAGCTTAGCTAGATTTCCAATCGACTGTGGAATTTGGTCTGCGAGGTTACAGAATGTGAGCCAGAGGGCTTCCAGCTTGGTAAGATTCCCGATCTCCGGCGGTAGCGGAGCAGGGGAGAACGGATTTAGTGCAAGATTGAAGTGGGTGAGCTCAGTAAGATTGGCGAGAAAGCGTGGTATCGTTCCCGATAGAAGGTTTCCATAGAGATCGAGCACCCGGAGCGCTGGAAAACTACTGCCGAATCCAGGGAGTATTGGACCGGAGAAGTTATTTTGTGAAAGATCCAGATGAATGAGCTCCGGGAACACCGCGGCCGTCTCGGGCAGGAAGCCAACAAAACAGTTGGAGGAGAGGTCGAGATGGTGGAGACGAGAGCAGAGGGAGAAGGAAAAAGGGAGGAGAGAGCCGTTGAGGAAGTTGCCGCCGAGAATTAAGCGGCGGAGGGTGTGGATACGGCAAAAGGAGGCGGGGAAGCTACCGGAGATGCCAAGCCCTTCGAGCACGACGGCGATGACTTTTCCGCCGGCGTTGCACGTAATGCCGGTCCAGTTGCAGGGGGAGGTGGAAGGGGACCAATCGTCGAGGTGGCCGACGGGGTCGGCTAGATCGGCTGCCTTGGCACTGAGAAGCGTACGGGAGTCAAAAGCGGCTTTGGTCGCCGGCAACGGCAGAGCGAAAAACAGGAGAAGTAGCCACGGCATTGTAGGAAGGGAATTGGAAACATAAAAAAGAGCGAAGAGGAGAAAGACGAGAGAAGTTTGGGCGCGGCGCGGTGAGTGAGAAGGGGGAAATGCGAATAATAACTGCAATCAAGGCAGAGGAAGAGTATGGTCACGTGGAAAGGCATTGCCTGGCTGGGCGTAGTGTGGTTAGTGGCGGATGATACTGGAAACCCATTTAACTTGTCGATTTTCTTTTTCGATTAAAGATTATAATTTAATTGTTTTTGACTTTTGAAGCTTTAGCCTTTAGGGATTTGGCAGTTTGCTAAACAGTTTACGGGGGTGGGTCGGATGCGAATTACATGTCGTTTGCTGCTCCCCGTCATCAATCAGTGTAATTAGTGTTGCTCTAGCGGAGAAAATTGTTTATTTAAAATTAAATTTTAAATCACATATTTTTAATTTATAATTTATTATTATTAAAAAAATAAAAAATCTGTTATTGAATTGAGGCTGTGTCGCTGTTATTTTGATTTCAGTACTAACATAAATTTGAATTAAAAATTTTAAATTTACCATCTTATTATCATCAGCTTTTTAATATATCCATCATCATTTAATCATTATAATCAAATTATTATTCCACACCATCATTGTCTGGCTAATCCATGAGAGATTAAATAAGTGTTCTACGAGTTTAAACCGGCGAGTTGACTCCTTTATTAAAAAAAAAAAAAAAATCAAGCTATTGTAACAAAATTAATGAGGAATTAGAGGAAAATAATTTAAAAAATGCTTAAAATAAAGAAAAAAATATAAGTTTTAAATAAGCAATAATTTTATACGCAAAATTTTCAACTCTAATATATTTAAGTATATTTATATTTACATTTTTTAAACTAATCACTTCACAAGAAGTTAATGAGTTGAATCAAGAATATCTTAATTTTGATTTATCAGCTCATTGGTTCGACTCAGGTGAGCTCTGTATGACTCATTAGTTTGCTTGACTAAGTTACACTACTAATATATAATTCCAAAAGTAAACCGATTTATATACAAATATACTATTTTAGTTGGAGCAATCTTTAAAGACTTTGGATTAATTTTTTTTTTTAAATAAATCATAATTATTACTGGTTTGTGATTTTCCCGCACACCAAATAAGAAAGCAGCTAAACTATTTACTCTCTTTTGTGTTTCTATTTCTCTGTTTTAGCAGCTTGATTGCATAATTAATGTTAATTATGCTTAGTCTAATAATGATTAGTTCTTATAGGCCAGCCACGACTTAAAGATAGGGGGTGTCAAAATGAATATTTGAGTTGTGTTCAAATCCAATCCAAAACTAACCCACCCTCAATTGATCCGACCCAAATTTGACCCAAGATTACACAAACTTGTCCGAAATCTAAACCCAGACCCGACCCACCCTAAACCTGGGTCAACCTGACCCAACACGCTAACCAAATTGGCCGAAACAAGCACCAGAGGTCGAGGCAAAAACAAGTGCGAGGCGAGTGGGTGTGACCTTGCGACGATGCGAGTGCAAGCAATTGCGATCATGCAAGCGCGAACATGATGGGCGGCGAGCTCGACGGAGCAGGCAATCAGTAGGCGAGCAAACTGCGATTCGGATGCATGTCAATTTCGGATTGATTTCGTGTTTTCGGGTTGACCGGAACTAGACGTGAAATTGGAAATGGGTCAGCATGAATCCAACTCGTTTTCGGATTGATGTCTTTCATTCTGAAAAGCTCAATCGGCACACAAACCGTTGTTGGAATTCCAACAATTCATGATAAAGGTATGACAGGAACTTCATAACATCAAAAGCTATGACATCTTCCCTCCGATGAAGGTGGCTACCATACCAGTCCAAGGAGGAACTAAGACGGTGAATTGAACTGTAAGGAGACCACAAAGGAATTTCTATGCCAACCCTAAACTGAAATTCTCATCTCTGACGATGAACAGGTACTTCGACAGCACTCATTTCTCTGATTCGGACTACTTGACGAAGAAAAGCTTCAACTGGAACATTTCCAAATAGGAATGTTTTGATGAAATAAAGGATAATTTATGCTCTGCTCCTATTTTTTACATGTGGCTGACGCCCTTAGTATAAATGTTAAGTCAACTTGCCTTGTTACATAGGCATGAAAGAATTTCAGGAGATATATGCCATGGATAGCAATTTCTCTAACAATAGAGTGCAATGCACTAATCAATTACCTACACAAGACTACTACATAAAGCATGGCATGTATATAAAGGGAATCAATTGTGCATTACCAAAACTTCTCGCGGGTAGCAATTGATCGAAGAAATTCGTTTTCTCATCGATGATTATTCCAAATAATGGGATGGAGTTCATGAATGAGCTTAATTTACATCTAATTCTATGACAATTCAGTCAACATAAATGATGTGGTGATCATCGGAAGAATCGGACCTGCTTGAAGGGAATTCCCAATCCAAGGGAACAAAGACAAGAACTAAGCTTCAAAAGAGAATAATATTCATCATATCCTTCTTACTACAATAATTTGCTAAGGCTAATAGGAATATTCTAGAAACTATTACTAAGCTAGTCCTAAGAAGCATTTTTAAGAACATTCTAAAAACTAGTAAGAACAAACTTAAATAAACTACTCATAAGGAATACTATAACTAAAATGCTCCGCATCAAGGAACGCCGCCTTTCAGCATAATAAGCACCAAAGTCCCTAATCATACTATGGATTCACCCAAAAGTCAGAGTAAACTAATTGCAGACATGGCCACCAACTTCAAAAACAAGCTCTCTACGAAACAGGCAGATTTTCACTAGAGCCTACCTTCATAAACAACAATTTTCTTGCAGTAACAATTTTTGAAGCAGAAGCCCCGGAAATGAGGACTCTTCTCAATAGCCAAACAGATCAATGATAACGCTTAGATCATTACCCTTCCACCTGAATCGAACATCTCTCCTGCTTTCAACACCCTAAACATCTACACTTTAGCACTTGCCGGATAATGGAGTCACAGACGTCACCAAACTTTGTGCCCAAAATTCTTCCGGAGAAGAGAAACAATGCAATAGAATTCTGTTGCAATCCAACTAAGAAAGCCGCCAGAATTTTAACATTCTATTTACTACTTTATTTTATCTATTTTTAATAACTTAATGGCATAATTACTATTAAGTATACTTCATCCAATGATAATTAGCCTGCCACAAATCTTGAATACCCAATAAAATGTGAATAAGAATGGTTTGCAACATTTTTCTGGTTGCCTATTGCTATTTCTGATTTATAATCATCTATTTTCTTCCGCTTTCACCTTCCCATCCATCGATCATGTGTCAATTACTCAAAATTAACAGCTTGGTTAAGATAAGAATAATTTCACATAATAAAATAAAGAGTCTAATCCTTTTCGGATGAGCGCTTGTGGGGTATGCAAATATGCAATCGGTAAGAGGCCTTTCTAAGAAAGTTTTCATATGGCTGTTAAGTGGCTATGGAAACTAAAGAGTATATTTTGAAACACACAGAAAACGATGTAAGGGATTATGTTTGTAGTTTGAAAGTAGAAGAAAATTATTTATTTCTTTCAAATTCACACTCCCCCCCACAATAAAACGTCAGAACTGCCACTTTCAGGAGCATCTAAGAACAGATTTACATGTTCCAGCACATAATGGGATTCTCGAGGTGTGTTTGGCTGAAGTGAATAAAAATTATGCAAATTAAAGGCTTTGACATGCTATGAAACCATAGATATGATATATATAAAACATTCTTTTCACCTTTTTAACATCCAAAGAAGTCCTAAAGTTATTTAATTTTTATTTGGACATTACTGAAGGGCTCATTTGGGTGATTGCAGAAAGAAAAAATTGTTATTGTGTGGATTTTTTTTTTTTAAAGGGGATAGAAGATTATGATGTAACGAGCCAGATTCAGGTTGACCCAAAACCCAAAATTATCTCAAATCAACCCAATTGTCATTTGGATTTAGGTCAAATGAATCATGTTAAGATTAAATTGGTTGTTTCCGGGTTAAACACGTTATATTTGAGATAAACATATCACGTTGATCTAAAAAAATTACAAAATTCATGTAATAAACAAGTCAAATGGGTTAGATTTGGATTAGGCTGGTTCGATTTGAATCGCGTTCTTGTAAAACATTTTGACCAATATGATAAATAGACAAGCTTGGATCGAGTCAACATCAAGTTAGATTTGAACCCGACCCACCAACTGATATTGACACCCATACGGCCATACACGATGCACAAAACAATTATATTGAATAGCCAAAAAAACACAAGTCAAAATATTATCACAATAAACTATTATCTTAACTTTGACACTCAGTATACAATGGATTAATTAAATTAAAAGAAAATTGAAAGAAAAAAAAAATAAAAAAATGATAACAAAACCAACAAATCCTCAAGTTGATGATGCCAAAACCTCAAAAAACAAATTGTTAAATCCACAGACAAAATTATATAATGCCAAAACATAGGCTATCTGAATTATTCAAAATTTCAAAAATCCAATCAAAGATCAAAGTTATATACAAAAGATATTGATTAAATTAATAATAAAATATAAATTAATGAATAAAGAAGGCATACTTATCCTTACTATAATTAAAACTAATTTATAATTACAACAACAACAACAATATCAAGCCTTTATCCCACTATATGGGGTCAGTTACATGAATCCTTTTTCGTTGTGTCCGGTTAAAAGTCAATTCTCATTTAAATCTAATAAACAAAGATCATTTCTAATATTTTCTAACCAAGTCTTTTTAGGTCTACCTCTACCTTTCTTATAAGTCAATTCTAATACCTCAACTTTCCTAACCGGGCCATCGAAAGGCCTCCGTTTAATGTGACCAAACTATCTAAGGCGACTCTCTCTAATCTTATCTTCCACTGGAGCTACTCCAACCTTTTCACGTATATGCTCATTTCGTATTCTATCTCTAAGGGTCAAGCCACTCATCCACCTAAGCATCCTCATCTCTGCAACACTTAACTTAGTATTATGCTTCTCTTTTAATGGTCAACATTCGGCACCATAAAGCATTGCAGGTTCACCACCATTTTATAGAATTTTCCCTTAAGTTTGAGGGGGACTTTTCTATCGCACAATAAGCCCAATGCATTCCTCCACTTCAATCATCCAACTTGAATTATGTTAATAATATCCCCATCAATTTCACCATAACTCTGAATAATAGATCCAAGATATCTAAAACGCGTACTCTTATTAATGACTTGATCGCCCAAAGTCACAATCCTCTCACTAGGTCTATTGCTACTAAAATTACACTCCATATATTCAGTTTTAGATCTGCTCAAGCGAAAACCATTAGACTCCAAAGTTGACCTCCATAATTTAAATTTACCTTCAACTCCCTCTCTAGTCTTATCAACAAGAAGAATATCATCAGCAAAAAGCATACACCAAGTTACATCCTCTTGCAAATGTCTAGTGAGAACATCCATGACTAGAGCAAAAAGATATTAAAACTAATTTATAATTAAAAAAAATAAATCAAGATTTGGTCATAAAAAATAATGGGCCTAGAAAATATGAAAATGATCTATTTAGCGACTTTGTTGCTTGGTTATACTGCTCAGATTCGGCCTATGAGAAACAGAGCCAAAATGAATCGAATTTGGTGAATGCTGCAGCATTGCCCCCAAGAAATAAGAACTTCTGTACCGTCATTTAATATGAAGGTTGATAAATACATTCAATTGGAAAAGAAAAGTTCATCAGATATAGTATCTATCAAGTCTCACCAAGGTCAACAGATATTGGAAACTTCTGTAACGTTATCTAGCATGGAAGTTGATCATCAACAAGCATATATAGCAGCAGCCACTACGGTATCAGATTGTTATTCAAATTCAATCAGCACAGATATCAGAAATCGTTGCATTCATTCGGGCAGCAGAGATGCGTCCCCCTTAGTTGAATGATATTATCTATTGCTAGCAATAATTGTCATGGTGCCTCAAATTTGGCCATGGCAATTTATGTGGCACTTCATTACAAGTTCACATGAGGGTTGGTTTGGTACCTTAATTCAAACTTTACTTTCTTTTACTACTAATGGTGTGATTCAAGTGTTTTTGGGAGGCTAACTATAATTCACCTTTCATCTAATTGAAAACACTGGCACCTTAACCAACCATTTTGGTTGTTCTCTAAATTCCCCATCCCCCCAATTTGAATAAGGAGATAATTGTTGATTTTCAAGCCCACTATGAGAATTGCTCTGTGGTGGTAAAAGAAGGGAAGAAGAGGAGTTTGTCTTCATCAGTTTCTTTCCAAGTTATGTTAATGGCCAATATTTGTGCCAAAAGTTATTTTAATTGCATTTTTTAAAAAATAAAGTATCCTCTCTCTCTCTCTTCTTTTGTAAAGAGAGGATTAGGATCTAGCTTTGCTTATCTAGAAGTTCTGTTTGTGATGATGTATTTTCTTAGTTTATAAAATGCTCAATGCAACCGCTTAAAAAAAAAAAGAACTCTCCTCATGAGAGTAAAAGTAGTGAATCTCTGTAAGGCAAATGACCAGCTATGCATTCCATTGGAAGAATGAAAGTATCTCTTGAACGCAGACGATCTCCAACTTATTAGAACATCTATAGCATTTTCAAATGCTAACAGTAAAAGAATCAGTGGCAAAAACAAAATAGGGCATTTTTCTCCATAAACTCCACCTATAGAAACAAAAAATACTATAGGCATGAAGGTGCCTCGACTTGATAACACAGAGTTGCATCATTAAATGAAAAATACTAATGTTTAATGAAAATGTGTATATAATATAAATCATTGCAGAAAAGCGGTGCAGTAAGGATTTATGGCTCTAGTAAGTCAAAATAAGTGTAAAACAAAGACAAACTAAATCATTAAATGCATGTTAACCAATGTATTTCATCATGAAAAGCTTTCAACCACCAATAATGAGCTGGCATGATAACCAATGTCTTTCATCATGTATAACCGAATTTAATTTAAATCCAACATATAATTCATTCAACAAGATGATTGAATGTATGCGCCTGATGGCCAAATTTTGTTTTGAATTCAAATTCATCCATTAAAATATATGACAGACCAAGTACGAATTGATTTGTTGTTCTATTTCTATGTTTAAATCATTATAAAAAAAGGTACTTGTTCTCAAATTCTTTAAGATGTTCATCCTTAGGTTTGGCAGTTCATCAATTTCATAGGATTGGGCTTATCTGAGGGACAAACAATAGTTTATTTAGTAAGCCAAGATAGGCCTATCCATCTCTCTACTTCCAAGGATGATGTGTTCCTTCTATATTCATTAGTTCAAAAAGTCTTACTTCTATCTTAATCTCCAGAAGACCATACATAAATCTTTATGTCACTACTTATGTTTATTTGAACAAATCACATCTAGAGTTCAATTCTTCAAACTGATCTAAGTATTCATTAAAAGCTCAATTATCTTGTTTAAATTTTTCAATTTTTAAGCTATTCTAAACTTGTAATAAATAGAACAACATTTTCCTATCAGTTTAAAATTCATATCAACCCAAATTCCAACAGGATGTTCTTAAAAATTATCTATCACTACCCAAAATCTCTTAACAAAATTAACTAATTTAATTTTAAAGTTTTAACACATTATTGAATGTTGAGTCTAGTAATTAAGTTGTTAAGCCTAAGTTAATGTCCCAAATGCTACCAAGAGGGGGGGTGAATTGGTAGTTGAAAAATTTTAAGCCCTCATTTAAAATTATGTTGAACCGAAATAAAAATTGTTTCTTTTAAGTTTTGTAGAAAAAGTTTTTCAACCACAGAGTTTTTAAGACTAAGAATTAAAAATGCGGAAACGTAAAAACAGTAAAGTAAATGACACCAGATTTATAGTGGTTCGGTCTAAAACCAGACCTACATCCACTCCCCAGAGGCACCCTCTGAGTATTGCACTAATACCAATAGTGACTCTCCTTTTGCACCCACAGCAAGGCGGAGAAGCCTTTACAACACACTCTTTTCACCACTCCCCGGTGCGGCAAACAACCGTCCGTCCTTTCACACTATCCCCAGTGTTGGCAGAGAACGTCGAGTTGGTTATTTTGATATTATGAAATGATCATGTAATCTTTCTCATTAATATCAAAATATGTCGTAGTTGATTTAATTTTGGTTTGTTTTTTTGGAATGTGCTTAATTATTATGAATTTCATTAGTCTTATTTAATCTTAATTGTGCTTAAATTAGATTGTGATTTGAGATTAATTACATTAGAAAATCTAGTCTTTCTAAATTTAAACCTTGTTTATAACTTGTTATAATTAGAATTTTTAAATTCATGTCTATTCATTTAGACTACATACACGTTGATATTATTATTGCATTTTAGATGTTTATTGCTCAAGTTTTAACACATTATTGAATGTTGAGTCTAGTAATTAGGTTGTTAAGCCTAAGTTAATGTCCCAAAGGCTACCAAGAGCCTTTGGGTCATTAACTTAGGCTTAACAACCTAATTACTATACTCAACATTGAATGCATGGAATACTCATCATAGAGACCCTCAAGTTTAGCTCCAACAACATCAAGCCCTTATCGCACTACGTGGGGTCAGCAACATGAATCATTTTTCTTCATTGTGTCATGTTAAGAGTCAAATTCTCATTAAATCTAATATGAAAATGTCATTTATAATATTTTATAGCTAAATCTTTTTAGGTCTACCTCTATATTTCTTAACATAGGTCAAATCTAATACATCTACTCTTATAATCGGGTCATCAGAAAACCGACATTCTATGAGACAAGTTTAGCTCCAATCAAGAAAAATGCAAATTGTGTCTAACATCAAAAATGAGGACTTTGATCTTAATTTTCCTTATCATTTCATATTCATCATGAATGAATTCCATAATCTCATTCATGGAACCTATAGTGTCAATCATCATGATCGTCACTAGAATAATAATCATCATAATCATCAAAAAGATCTCAAGTATATGTTCTCTCTTATATGTAACATCATAATGATCTTGATGATTTATATGATCTTCAGAGTTCCTAATCTTCTTAAGCCATAATAAACATCTCTACCTATCATAAGGACATTCCTTATAACCTTGAGGTTTAAGAAAGGCACCATGATCTATATGGTGGAATGTCATAACAAAAATAACATTAGGCGCTTCTACTAAACTACTTAACGTGGCTAGAGGAGGTGAAGGTATCCTATGTGGTGGATTTCCTATAGGATCATTAAGAAAAGAAGGAACACTAAAAAAGGTCCTTAATTAGGATTTCTAAGTTAGTACGTCAAAAATCAAAGGTGTTCCATTTTGTCAAACATCTCAGTAAACTTACCCAATTCCATTAAATTTATCATCTAGACATTCAAATTTTTTCACTCATAACACTATGACTTTTATGTTATCTACCCTTTGTTCAATTTGCTTGTGTCAAGACAATATTTAATGTTCGCTTTTTCATGTATCAAAATTAATGGTGATTGGAATGCAACAACTATAATTGATATATAATGTAATAAATCAAAAGTTCTAAACGCCACTTGCATAGTATAGTTTAGATGTAAGTGTGGAATTGCCCCTAAGATACCATCCTTGGACTCATGGCCTAGACTTTAC